TTATAATTACACGTATTCCCAAAGGGATTTATTACAAAATTTTTTCAGATCAAGAATTCTAATTCCTCTTCATGTAAACTAAATTTGACCTAAGTTTGATCTTTCCGGAACGATCGTACCGTGATAATCCGCAGGATTTATGATATCTTTAAATCTTGCAACGTCCATAATTCGGTTCATGTTTTACCAAAATGGACAATTTTGGTGTCATTCGACTCAGCTCGAAATGCTCTTTCAAAATAGCTAGTCTTTTTAAAGGTATGATTGAAATTAGCGTTGAAATAATCGGATGAAGATTTAAAATTGATGTAGTTGAAATTTTTTGGGAGAGAATCAATCTGCTTTAGTGATGAATTTATAGGGAGAAATGTTCCAAACAAAAAAGCAGTTGAACATTTAGTTCTGGGAACACTTTTTAAGAAGATACAAGTTCAAAATGCGGACTCAAAAAGTCAACTTTTGAGATCTTGAATTAAAATGCGATTTCGATGGCCTATGTTGTTGAGCGTCACATGAAACCCAGAAAAATATATACTTTGTTAGGAGGCCAATTGATTCTTAGAAAGTTATATGGCAAAATATATTAGTTTTCGAATTTTCGGGAACCTATAACTCAGCCCAATCTAGTCAGATTTTGTTGATTTTGGTGTCATTCGACGCAGCTCGACGAGTACTTTCGAATAAGCTATTAATCCCAATTTCGAATTTTTATTCCAAAAACAGCTTGGTCCCCCCTATTATTTATAATTTTCAGGAGCTTGTAACTCGACTCAATTAAGTCCGATCGTGTTGATTTTGGTGTCATTCGATTCAGCTCAACGAGATCTGTCTAATGAGATATTAATCTCATTTTTGAATTTTTGAAACTGAAAAGAAACAGCCGCGGTAATACCAACGCTGCTAACGTAGCGAATTCTAGCTGCGTGCAAAGAGCTCGTGGTCGAAAAATTCGAAAATGAAATTAATATCTATTTTAATAGATCTCGTCGAGCTGCGTCGAATGACACCAAAATCACCGAAATCTGACTTGATCGAGCAGAGTTACATGCCCCCGAAATTTAAAAACCATAGGGGGGACCAAGCTGATTTTTGGTCTAAAAATTCGAAAATGAGTTAAATAGATCATTCGACAGATCTCGTCGAGCTGCGTCGAATGACACCAAAATCAACGAAATCTGACTTTATCGAGCAGAGTTATATGCCCCCGAAATTTAAAAACCATAGGGGGGACCAAGCTGTTTTTGGTCTAAAAATTCGAAAATGAGTTAAATAGATCATTCGACAGATCTCGTCGAGCTGCGTCGAATGACACCAAAATCACCGAAATCTGACGAGATTGGGCTGAGTTATATGCCCCCGAAAATTAAAAACCATAGGGGGGACCAAGCTGTTTTTGGTCTAAAAATTCGAAAATGAGTTAAATAGATCATTCGACAGATCTCGTCGAGCTGCGTCGAATGACACCAAAATCAACGAAATCTGACTTTATCGAGCAGAGTTATATGCCCCCGAAATTTAAAAACCATAGGGGGGACCAAGCTGTTTTTGGTCTAAAAATTCGAAAATGAGTTAAATAGATCATTCGACAGATCTCGTCGAGCTGCGTCGAATGACACCAAAATCACCGAAATCTGACTTGATCGAGCAGAGTTACATGCCCCCGAAATTTAAAAACCATAGGGGGGACCAAGCTGATTTTTGGATTAAAAATGCGAAAATGGGGTTAATAGAGCATTCGATAGAATTTGTCGAGCTGTGTCGAATGACACCAAAATCACCGAAATCTAACATGATTTAGCCGAGTTACAGGCTCACGAATATTGAAAACAATAGGGGGGACCAAGCTGATTTTTGGATTAAAAATGCGAAAATGGGGTTAATAGAGCATTCGATAGAATTTGTCGAGCTGTGTCGAATGACACCAAATTCACCAAAATCAGACTTGATTAGGACGAGTTACAGGCTCACGAAAATTAAAAACCATAGGGGGGACCAAGCTGTTTTTGGAATAAAAATTCAAAAATGAGGCGAATATATAATTCAAAAAAACTTGTCGAGCTGCGTCGAATGTCATCAAAATCACCAAAATCTGACATGATTGGATCGAGTTGTGGCGCCGAAGGCGCCAAAAAATCTATTTTTTGCGCCGCAGGCGTAAATTTTTTGAAATTTGGAATTTTTTGAATTTTTTCAAAGGCCGTAGACCAAAAAAGGCACTTTTTTTATGAATGAGAACCCTGTAATAATAGCTCATTTGTTAAAATTTACATATTTACAAAAATTTCAGTCCCAGACTGAAAGTTATAAACGAGACTCAAGTGTCCTTTTTAGTAAAAATTCATTTTTTAATATTCCCTTTAATTTTTACAATTTTTAAAGTTTATTTCCACTGATTTTAACCTTCAGACTCAAATATTCCATCCTCAGACTCAAGTGACCCCTTCAAAAATATTTTTAAAAAATGCTCTTGATTTTTACACGTCGAATGACACCTAAATCATATTTTTCTGACAACTACTTCAAAAGTTACAAAAACCGGCTCAACGTTGCTTAACTTAACAGATCGGACGGATTAGATCGTCAAATTTAAAAATTTTTTTCTAAAATTTTAATTTTTTAAAAAATTCGCAACTCGGCTCAAAAAACTCATATTAACACAAAACAAAGCTTATTCGATGCAGAATTTAATTCTCTTTCTTCCATCTTTCAACACTTTTTTGCTATCTCCAAAATAAAATATAGTTAAGGTCACTTTTACACATTCTCCTAAAAAACGCACTTTTTACTCCATATCTTTTTTTCTGTTATTTGGATCAACTTAAAACCAACTTTTTTCTTAAGAAACCCACCACGAGCTACAACTTTTCTCCCAACGACTTTTTTCTATCTCGTCGATAAACACCTTAAATCCAAAGTTACCACTTTGACATAAAAGCTTGTAAACAGCATATCTACCCTTCAAGTTGTAAGAACGACTTCAACTCTTTTTCTATCATATTCGAAATATGCTCTAGATGTGCCCTCTCAACTGACCCAACTTTCCCCGACTTCATCTTTTATCTCAAATTTCACTTCAAAGTTTCGAAAAAACATGTTTTTTCGAAATATCTAAAAAACTCGCCCCTTTCCCCCAACTTTTGAAGGTTTTCCTGAAAACTACATTAAATTTCCCATCTATAGCAAAAAACCCCACCCCGATACACCCACTCAAAAGCTCTGGGGACTTTTTTTTAGCTGAGTGCCTTGTTACTATTATATATAGATAATTTTATTTTTGGTTGAATTTTTATTTTATTTTCTGATCCTTTTATTAATTCCAAAAAAATTTTTTCGGCCATTTAAATTTTTAAAATGCTTCGAATACCTTAGTAAAAGCGAGGTAAAAGTTTAATACCGGGCAGGCTTCGATCCTGCCCTCCTGGTAGTTATTGCTAGGTCCTTTCGCTCATCACGTACAGGTGCTCTACCAACTGAGTCCCTTTTAATAGATCTTAAATCCCCGCCTAGTGAAGGTTTTAAATGCTAGGGATCTTTCTTTTCCTTACACCTTGTAGCTAATTAATTTACTTTTTATTTAAAACCCCCCTACAATCTATTTAATTTTCAAAGATTTATTGAGTTTTAAACTCTTGAGTCATACATTTTTTCCATCAATTTTTAACCTCTCCCTCCAATTTTTTTAATCGAAAATTCTTCTTCCTCCCTTCAATTTTTCTAATATTTTATTTCTTTAAATTCAAGTTTTCTTTTCCCCGATTAATTCTTTTATAATCGGAATTTTATTTTCGCCATTTATTCTCACATTTCTCTCAAAGCCTTCACACAATAATTTTGCAAAATTAATTAAATAATTTTTTTTCTGGGTTGTTCTGGAGGAATATATAAAACTTTAATTATATCATGCAACCTTAATTTATATTATATTTTCCGGAAAATAACTTTTCCGGAAAAATATTACCTACATTCTTATCTGATATATTACAGTTTTCCGGAAGAATGTAGTTTAATAAATATTATTTTCCGGATAATAAATATTCATTCCGGAAACAGTTTTCCTGCATAATTCCTGAATTATAATATTTATTTTATAGAAATATTTAAACTTTTCCGGAAATATTTTTTCTATTTCTAACTGATACAATAAAGTTTTCCGGAAGCATACAGTAACTATGTGCTTCCGGAAATTATTTTTATTTGTTTCCGGAAATACTAATATACAATGTATTCCTGAATTATAATATTTATTTCCGAAAATACTTTCCGGAAGAATTATTGTTTATATTTCCGGAACTATATAGTAGGCAATTACAAATATGAAATCCATTTTAATCTCCAATTTAAAAATCATCTTTAATTTTGTTTATTTTTTGTTAATTCTCATTTTATCTCTCCAATAGTAATTATTTTTTAAAAGTCGCGCAGAGCATTTCCACTACTAAATAAATCGATTTATTTGCTTACTTTGTCCCTTTTCATTGTTCTCCTTTACAAACCTAACAAAATAATAGTCATCAATGGTCTCCCTTCGCGCCACACTTTATTATTTCTTTTTTTACCCCATTCTTTCCCTCCTTTTTTGCCTTTCCGGCCATATTTTCTTAGCTTTTGTCATTATTTTTGGCTTGGATCAAAAATCAATGAGAGAGAAAAATATGCCACCCTTGTAAATGTGGCCATATTTTTGTCTTAAATTTATTAAAAAAAGTTTCTTTCCGGAAAGGTTTATTCGTTCCGGAAAGAATTATTTTTGAGTTATACATGTACATATTTATTTTCCGAAAATATACAAACTTTTCCGGAAAGAATATTACTATATTTCCGGAAGCATATTATTTTCCGGAAATACGTTTTCTTAAATTATATTTTTTCCGGAAAAAAGTCTATATACATATTTCCGGAAAATAAATATGTATAACTCAAAAATACATATGTATATTGTCATAAGTCTATTTTCCGGAAATAATTTTTCCGGAAGCAGAATAATTATCAATAATTATATTAATACAGGAAATTCTCGAATGGATCGTTTACACCGCCAAGAATCATTTCAACAACAACAACAATCATCTTCTTCATCCTCTTTCTCATCAACAAATTTGTTGACCTCTTCAATTACCCCATCACTCATTTTTAATGAAGACGAAAATAATACTAAAAATTCCACAGAACAACAACAACCACCGGTTGCACGGGAAAGGAAAAGTAAAAGATTCCAAGCTGGTTCTTCTACTTGTTCAATTTCTTTTTATTCTTCCTTTTCCTATGATGATGATGGAATTGATGAGAAACGGAATCAGAATTGTGGTGATTAGTTTAAAATTATTTTTCCGGAACACAATATTATTTTCCGGAAAATAGAAATAATAATTATTTTCCGGAACACTATATTTCCGGAAACTATATTATTTTCCGGAAATTTTATTAAATTATTTTTCCGGAAACTATATTATTTCCGGAAACTTTATTATTTTTCCGGAAAATAGAAATAATTATTTTCCGGAAAATAGAAATAATTATTTTCCGGAATTTTATATTTCCGGAAACTTTATTACACTCTCTCTCTTCTTTATTTCTCTGAGTTTTTAATATTTTCCGGAAAAGTGATTTACCAATAATTTCCTTGTTAGGGTTAATTCATTGACTTCTAACCGGATTAACTGAAACGGATATAATTTAAATATTTCTCTGAAAATATATAAATATCCTAAATATTCAGAAAGATCAGACGTTTTGAGAGAAAGCCAAATCGGGCGGCGACCTTTTAATGTCGATGCGGCTGTCAATAATACCACCACTGAAGCAATTAATAGTGGAGGAAAGGGACGTCAACTAGAGCAATTTCGTAGCGGTCAAAGAGGAAGGGAAGGGGAAGCGGCTGTCAATAATACCACCACTGAAGCAATTAATAGTGGAGGAAAGGGACGTCAACTAGAGCAATTTCGTAGCGGTCAAAGAGGAAGGGAAGGGGAAAAAGAAGAAATTGTGAAAGAGTCAACTAGCAATTTTAAAAGCAATGAGGGAGATTTTGACGACGAGCAGCAGCAATTTCCCATCGGGGGAAGAAGAGGAGGAAGAGGGGGAGAGCTTTGGAGTGACAGGTAGTCTTTTTTAGATAAAAGAAAATTTGAATTTTTATATACGCGTTTTGGATTAACCTAAAAAAAATTTTTTTTGAAAAAGTATATTGGGGAAAATATATTTAAAATCCAGTCTAGAAACCAGACGCCAAAAAAGTTAGTTTATGATGTGCGCCATAAACGCCATAAAATTAAAATTTCCCAAGAATTTTTTTTGCGATTTTTTTTGATTTTTTCTTTCATTGTTAAGGATTATCCTGACTTTATTTTACAATGAAATTTTTATTATAAATGAGGGTAATATATATCTAACGCCTAAAAAAGTTAAAAGTGTAGCTGTACTGCGAAGGTCAAATTTTTGAGGAAGAAAAAAAAAGTTGATGAGTTAGAAGAGAAAATATCCTCGCACAGCCAGGCACACACAGAAAGTTTTTTCAAACATTAATAAAGCCAACAACAACAATAAAAAAAAGTTTTGCAACTCAGTGGAGGGAAAATTGTTGGCGATGTGCGCTGTGACATTAAAAAAACTTTAATTTTTTTAGAATTTTTGGGGGCAAAAAAATTAAAAAAAATTTTTTTCCTCTTCTCTGCCTTGAATTCAAAAAAAATTTTTTTGTTAGAATTTTCTTCGAGTATTTTTCTTCATATTTCCCTTAAAAATTACCCTTTGGCGTTTTGAAATTTTTTTGCGCACACTTCCTTCATTTGCATTTTTGGGGCAAAAATTAAAAAAATTTTTTCCCTCTGCCTTGAATTTAAAAAAAATTTTTATTTTAATTTTTTTGAGTATTTTTTTCTTCATATTTCCCTCAAAATTACCATTTGGCGTTTTTAATTTTTTTGCGCACACCTCCATCCTGCGCAAAAATTGTCCTTCCAAACCCCCAAATTCTTTAGCATTAAAAACCCTTTTTTTTGTCTGGGAAGAATGTAATGGAGGGAAGGAAGAATTAGAGAAAAATTAGAGAAAAATAGCAAAAATGTATATATTATATTTCATTAAAAACACACACAAAAATAGCCAATTTATATAAAATTTTTTTTTGCATTAGACGGAGGGAGAAGAACGCCACGCGTTTTTGGTTTTGTGTTGTTTTTAGTGCGTTTTAAACAGCTTTTTTTCTTTCTTTTAATGTTTTGTTTTGTTGTTATCGACTGTCAAAATCAGCAAAAGAATTTTTCCCAACGTGTATTAAAAGTGGATATTTCTAAATGTATTTTTTCCTTTTTTTCCTTCCAAAAGAGTTGCGCAATCGGGAAAAACGTAGCGCGACTAAAAACGTTTTCCAAGAAGAAAAAGAAACTTGATCAAAACCAAAACAACTATAACACTCAAACTTTTTAATGAAAAGGGGGGAAGATGGGGGAAGAATTCTTTTAAGGGACAAGCATTTTTGGAGACGTTGAAAAAATTTTCTGAAAATTTTTTCTGAAACCTCTCTGACAAAATTCAATCATTAGTTAACCAGACTAGGACCCGGATACTGATTTTGGTATTGTTACGACCCGAGGTGTGTCCGAGATTTAACTAATGTTGAGAGAGATCAGTGACTAGCCCCACTAGTATGATCCCAATAGAGTGACGATTTCACTGGCTTTTATAGTAAACTCTTTAAGGGCTGACGCCCATACACAACAGGTATCCGTATCCGGATATTTACGGCAGATACAGGCGGATACAGACGGATATCCGCAACATTTTAACAATATCTGTATCCGTATCCATGTCAACTCGTTAGGTTAACCCCCCAAAAGTGCTTTAGTGCTTTAGAAACATTGTATTCCTTTAAATTTCCTCGTCATCATTTTGTCCTTCAACTCATATTGCCTTATTTTTTATTCTCTCATCTTCCTCATCGCCCTTATTATTTTCCTCCTCTTCCATTGAAGAAAGTACACACATTCTTTTAATAAATAAAAACAACACCAACAAAAACCACCCATTTACATTCACAAAAATTATTTATTTTTATGTTAATCATTAAAAACATAAGACAACCAGCACAGATTGTTTTGTTGAAAAGGCTGTAATTATATATTAATTGTAAATTATATTGTAATAATTATTTTATTTGTTGTATTAATTGTTGTATTAATTGTAAATTAACACAACAACATTTAATAGAAACATGTTGTTGTTTTTGTATTTTTACATGTTTTGTATTTTATTTTGTATTTTTTGTGTTTTTCTGAATGTTTTTATAATTTTGAATGTTTTAAAAACACAAATGTTTCTGATGTTTTTGTATTTTTAAAACACAAAACAAGGACTAATGTTTTTATTAATGTGTTTTATAAAAACACTTGTGTTTTTAAGAAAAAGTTGTTGTTTTTGTATTTTCTATGTGTTTTGTATTTTTTTGTATTTTCTTTTGTATTTTTTCATGTTTTTCTGAGTGTTTTTATAATTTTTAATGTTTTAAAAACACATGTTTTTGAAAACACAAATTTTTCTAATGTTTTTGTCACAAAGTTTCTAAAACACAATGTTTTTAAAACACAAAACATGTTTTTATTAATGTGTTTTATAAAAACACTTGTGTTTTTAAGAAAAAGTTGTTGTTTTTGTATTTTCTATGTGTTTTGTATTTTTTTGTATTTTCTTTTGTATTTTTTCATGTTTTTCTGAGTGTTTTTATAATTTTTAATGTTTTAAAAACACATGTTTTTGAAAACACAAATTTTTCTAATGTTTTTGTCACAAAGTTTCTAAAACACAATGTTTTTAAAACACAAAACATGTTTTTATTAATGTGTTTTATAAAAACACTTGTGTTTTTAAGAAAAAGTTGTTGTTTTTGTATTTTCTATGTGTTTTGTATTTTTTTGTATTTTCTTTTGTATTTTTTCATGTTTTTCTGAGTGTTTTTATAATTTTTAATGTTTTAAAAACACATGTTTTTGAAAACACAAATTTTTCTAATGTTTTTGTCACAAAGTTTCTAAAACACAATGTTTTTAAAACACAAAACATGTTTTTATTAATGTGTTTTATAAAAACACTTGTGTTTTTAAGAAATGTTTTACATAAATTAATGTTTTTGTGAAAAGTTTTACAAACACCACAAATGTTCACAAATGTTCTTAAGATAATAGTAATGTTTTACAAACATTTTACAAACATATTGGTTTTAGGATGTTTTACGAACAAAATGTTTTTAAGAAAATGCTTTAAAACCTATGTTTTTGTGAAATGTTTTACAAACACAAATGTTTTAATAATTGTACCCCAAACATTCTTTTAAATTCCATTTTTATTTTTGTTTAGTTGGCGTTTTGTTCAACATTTTTAAAAAATGACATTTTATCCCAACTTTAATTTTATTTTCAATTTTTTCGAATTTCTTAAAATTTTCCTCACTAGATTTAATTAAAATTTTCACTTTTTTAGCTCAACAACAATTCATTGTCTTTCCTATCAACCTCAACAAGGTTGTTGTAGTGACAATATTATTAACAGTGACAGCAGCGCATCTACACAAATATTCCACGTTAGCAAACCCCTTTATTTTTTTATTCAATAAATCGAATATTTTAGGGGAATATTTTTTGTTTTATTTAATAATAAAATTTTATTTTTTTTTTCCAGCAAAAAACAATAATAAATCAAATGTCCCAGCCAAATAATAATAGCAGCAGCAATATTTCTTCTGACGACACAAAACCTGCAACGCTTTCTTCAACAAATTTTTCTTCACGTGAACAACAGCAAAATAATAATAAATTGTAATTTTAATTTAAATGGCTCTACTCCAGTTTATGAGTCCAATCAAAAAATAATTGGATTTTTCTTGGTGTTGCAAAGTCAGGAAAAATCCAAAACATTTTTTCATGTTCAGGACTAACGGCCACTGGGTCTGGGACCGTTCCTTACCCTATTTCTCAAAATTTCGGAAAGTTTCGAAATGAAGAAATGCTTGGAGCCAATTTTTAAGAATTTCAGAAAAACGATTTTAACTTGTCGAAATTTCGAGGGATAGGGTAAGGAACGGTCCCAGACCCAGTGGGCGTAGGTCCCAAACATGAAGAAATGCTTAGGAACCATACCCTAACTTCCTAACTTTGCAATACCAAGAAAAATCCAATTTTCTTTTTATTGGACGCATAAACTTCCATTGGACGCATAAAAGTCGATTGGACGCATAAACTGGACAAGAGCCGAAAAATCCAATTATTTTTTGATTGGACTCATAAACTGGAATAGAGCCATTTAAATTAGTCAATTTATCCAAAAAATAAATTTTCTAGCATTTCTTCTCGTCAACCACCACAGCCTAAAAACAGAAGAAGGGCTAGCCATTTTGCAACAACTTCAAGTTCATTCAATGAATCAAGGGAGAGAAACATTAGTGAGGAACAAAAACAATTATTTCTGTTGCAACAAGAACAAAAACAACAACAAAACTTGGAAAATAGTCAACGAAGAAATACAACATCGAACTTGTCTATTCCTACAAAAACAACAGCTAAAGAGCGTGTAGGGGTGCTGATTAAACAGGTTGAATAAATTTAAACTTTTTTTGGTACTTTCGTATTGTCTGTCCCAACATCCGCAAATGTTTGTCCGCAAAATTTTTTTGCCTTCTTCCTTTCTTTTCTCGTAGTTATTAAAAAATGGTCAAGAATTAATTTTTGTTAGGCTAATTGAAGGTTAGCCGAGACCGAAGATTTGCGATTCCAAAGGAAAAAAACAAAATTTTCGGTTCGTGTTTTCGGTTACCCAAAAAATTTGCTGAAACCGACAATCCCATTCATAGGCCAAATCTTGAAAATAGATTAGAACTATTTATTATTCTAAAAACAAATTTAAGAAACAAATTAAAAAATGACGTCCATTTTATAAGAAAAAATAGCATTAGTCCTTGACCATTTTTTAATAATTATCAGAGTAGAAAGAAGGATTGTCTGTCCCAACATCCGCAAATGTTTGTCCGCAAAAAAAAACAAAAATTTACAAAAAAACAAAAAAAAAATTTTTGCGGACAAACATTTGCAGAGTAAAAAATGAAAATTTTTTTACAATTTGTAATTTTACAAATTTACAATTTATTAAAATTTAATTTTTACAATTTTTAGTTCAATGCCTTAGACAAGGGAGAATTGCCCATTCCGAATGTTTTACAACCTCAAACTCTATCAAAATCCACATCTGTCCGCAATTTAAGTTTGAGTCCTTCAATTCGTTGTATTAATAGACAAACAACGTCAATTTTGTCTGATGATAATAGAGAAGAGGGACAATCGCCTTCCCTTTCTTTGGACAGCGATTTTCTTTTGCGAGAAAAGGTGAGGGGGAAAATTAATTTTTTTTTTTAATTTAAAAAAAAAATTATTTTATTAAAAAAATTAAAAAAAATTTTTTTAGGAAATCTAAAAAAAATTAATTAAAAAAATTAGGAAAAAAAATTAGGGGAAAATTAAAAAATAAAATTAATTTTTCTAAAAAAATTTTCTAGAACTCAACAACAGCATCATCAGTTGAAAATGATGAAGTTCAATCGCAAACAACAGATTGTACAAGTAATTCAATTGCTAATGCCTCTACACATTTGCCCTTAGAAGGTAGTGGAGGTACGGGGGCGTTGTTGGACTTGTCTCGATTTAAAACTGAAAAAGTTTTTTTTTTTAATAAATTTAAGAAAATTAATATTTTTTTTTCAAAGGTTATTGGAAGGACAGTTCCATGTTTTCCACATTCATCAGATTCTGACTGTGAATGTGACGATAGTGCTAATAATAATCGACAGGTTTTTTTAAAAATAATTTTGCTTTTGTAAAAATTAATTTTGGGAAATTACAAATTGTAAAAATAAAACTTTTGACAAAAAATAAACCTGATTTGTAATTTCTCAAAAAATAAACTTGACCATGTTTTTGTAAAAATTTAGAGAAATTACAATTTGTAAAAAAGAGAGCTTGAATTGTATTTTTAACTTTGAATTGTAATTTCTCAAAAATATATAAAACTTGACCATGCTTTTGTAAAAATTAATTTTGGAAAATTACAAATTGTAAAATCGACTTGTTTTATGAAAAATAAAACTTGAATCGTAAAAATAAAACTTATTTTCTGAAAAATAAACTTGATTTGCAATTTATCAAAAAATAAACTTGATCATGTTTTTGCAAAACTTAAGAAAAATTACAATTTGTAAAAAAATAAAACTTGATTTTCTAAAGAATAAAACTTGAATTGTAGTTTTTAATTGTAATTTCTCAGAAATATATAAAACTTGACCATACTTTTGTAAAACTTGAATTGTAATTTTATTTAAAAAACTTTTTTTTTTATTTTCAGACCAAAAAAACTTTGTTGTCATCATCAGAGAAACAACAACAAAGTTTATTTTTATCTTCTCTGCCTTCTGCTCAATTACAATCTACTCTAAATTCTTTAAATTCTTCTTCTCTAATTTCATCAGCATCTTCTCCTTCTCCAAAACTTTCTTCATTAATTATTCCAGAAAATAACAAAAAAGAAGAAAAATCACAACAAATTTCAACAAAATTAGAAGAAGAAAATTCTCATAAAAATTCTCTCCCTCCAACCAATAATTTTTGTTTATCAACAACTTTTAAAGAAGAAAATCTTGCCAATATTTCTATTAGTGATAAAACACTTACTGAAGATATAAACATTAAAGTTGAATTATCTACTCGTCAAAATCTTTCTTTATTTTTGGCTTCGTCTTCTTCCCCTTCACCTCCTTTGTTAGTGAAGGATGGAAGTTTAGACAGTCATCAACAATTAAAACCTAGCGAATATGAGGTTTGTATTATGTTAAATTAAACTTTAATTGTAAAAAATTAAAACTTGAGCATTTGTAAAAATAAACTTGAAAATTGTAATTAAAAAAATAAACTTGAATTGTAATATCTCTAGAAAATAAGCCTGAATTGTAATTTCTAATAAAATAAACTTTAATTAAATTTATAGAAAAATAAAACTTGACTATGCTTTTGTAAAATTAAAACTTGAGTATATGTAAAAATAAACTTGAAAATTGTAATTTGAGGAATTAAAGTTTAAATTGTAAAACTTGAAAAAATAAACTTGAATTATTATTTCTAGAATATAAACTTGATTTGTAATTTTTGGGGAGTTAAAACTTGAATTGTAATATCTATAGAAAATAAACCTGAAATTGTAATATATAAATAAATAAACTTGAATTGTAATATATAAACAAATAAAACTTGAATTAAATTTATAGAAAATTAAAACTTGACCATGTTTTTGTAAAAATTAAAACTTGAATTTGTACTTTTGTAAAACTTTAAATTCTTTTCCCCTTTTAAAGTTATCAACAATTCGCGGACTTTTAAGCCTTGATGAATATTCAAAAACTCATCTATTTTGTGTACTTTTGCATAGACCAGTTGGACTTGATGAAGTTAGTGTTGGTCTTTTATTATCCGAAAGGCCTCTTGTTCGTTCTACGCCAGAAAGAAATTCTTTAAATTATGCTATTGAAGTAATGAATGATTTTAATTAATTAAAAAATTATTTTTTTAAAGATTAGTAAAGTAACTTGTGGTTCTATTGCTGAGAAAAATGGGTATTTAATGCAAGGCGATAGGGTATTTATTTTTATTAAAAAAATTTTTTTAATTCATTTTTTAATTTTTTTTAAAGGTTTTCTTTATTCAACATGAGTCGACTGAGAATGTAAAAAATATTTTTTAAATTATTTTTTTTTGCGGACAAAATTTGCGGACTTTTCTGAAATTAAAAAAATTTTTTTTCTTAAATTACCCTAAAATACATACAAATACCCCAAAGAATTTTAGAAAAATTTAAAAAAAAATTTCAGTAAAATCCGCAAATTTTGTCCGCAAAAATTTTGTCCGCAAATATAAATTTTTTTTAATTCCGAAAAAAATATTCTTTTTCTTTTAGATGCGCGTAAAAGAAGCTAGAACATTATTACGTTCACGAGCCCCGTCAGTTCATTTAATTGTTGGACGCCGTCAAGGATTATTATATCAACAACAACATAATATTACAAATTGTTTAACTAATTCGTCTACAAGTGGTAGTAGAACAGCTTTGAGTGCTTCAAGTACTTCTAGTTTAACTGCTCTTTCTGAATATCAGGAAGATCACCAATCTTCTATTTGTAAGGGAGAAAAAAAATTTTTTTTTGAATTAATTTTTTATTAATTTTTAAATTTGCGGACTTTTAAAAATTTGCGGACAAAAATTTGCGGACTTTTTAAAAATTTTGCGGACAAAAATTTGCGGACTTTTAAAAATTTTGCGGACTTATTAAAATTCTTTTTTTAAACTTTCTGTTTTTTTTTCAAAAAAATGAGAGAATAAAAAGTCCGCAAGTTTTGTCCACAAATTTAAAAACCACGCAAAAAGTATTTTTCTAAAAATATTTAAAATCAAATTTTATTTCAATTAATTTTATTTTTTAAAGTTTTGACTGATCCAGCATTGGAGAGATATGCTCCAGACTCTATTCTTGTTACTTTACCTAAATCTGAACTTATTATGGGTTTATCACTTGATGGTGGTTTAAGCTCACGTTTTGGCGATCGTCCAATTTTTGTCAAGAGAGTTTTTGCTGGTAAATAAATTTATTAATTAATTTAAAAAATTTTTTCTTATCAAAATGTCCAAATGTTGAAATTGCCCAAAAAATTTCAAAAAAAATTTTTTTTTAAACGTCCAAATTGAAAAATGTTCAATTTTCAAAATGTCGATTTTTAAAAACGTCCCAAAAATTCCAAAAAAAAATTAAAAACATTTTCAATTTTAGCAGGAGAAGCAGCTCTAGAAGGCAGAATTTCTCCAGGCGACGAAATTCGAAGGATTGACTCAACTAATTTAAATAATTTTACCCGTTTTGAGGCCTTAAAATTGATAAGAGGATTGCCTGATGGACCTGTACAATTGGAAGTTTATAAAAGAATTTGTTGAAAATAAAAATATAATAAAAAATATTTAAATTAAAAATAATATAAAAAAGCAATTTATTTTTGTGTTTTTTTTTTGTTTTACACACATACAAAAAATATTATTTTTTTTCTTTTGATTATTGGATATATGTATGTACTTTATTAGATTGTACTAGCGGGGTAGGGCGGCCTTCGGCCGCCCCACCTCGCTAGCAAAAACAAATTAGCAATTCAAAAACCCTAATACAATGGCAAAAATCATATACCTAATCAAACCTAACTAAACTTAGCGTAATTAAAAACACAAACAAATTTAAAACTTTATTCACAACAAAATAATCAATAAATACATACAATATAAATATCAAAATCGGGTGAGTTTGTGAGTAGGAAAATGGGGATTATACAATAAAAATGGGTCAAAACAAATACAATACATATCTAGTACTTGCGTATAACAATACGCCTATTTTCTAAGAAACTGAGAAACTCAATCTCTCTCATCTAAGATTTCTTTATACACTACATTTTTGATCTTTCGATCACTATTACTATTATCTAACTTGACCCTAATCATATTCCATGATCTTGCTCTCGAAAGAGCCACATACAATTGCCCATGTCCGAAGACCTCTTTTCTAAGATCTATTCCAACTCGCTCAAGGGTTTGGCCTTGAGCCTTATTAATTGTCATAGCAAAAGCTAACACCAATGGAAATTGATGTCTATGCAAATCAAATGGATACTCCTCAGAACAACAAAGTGTTATCCGGGGGATATACGCAGTTTGACCTGCCTTATCTCCAGTAAGAATCCTGCAGACAATTAAGTTTGCATTCATCTCCTCAACACTCATTCTTGTCCCATTGCAGAGACCTTTTTCTATGTTCAAATTTCTAATTAACATGACAATTGCATGTTTCTTTAATCTAAGCTCATGCAATGAAAACCCATTTGGTCTCAGAGCATTCAAATACTCATCTAAATACTCATTGACACGCTGTCGATTTTCATCTTCAGCATGATCAATGCTAGTGTACAAAATCTCTTTTCCAGGTAACATACCCAGAACTCTACTATTTATCTCAGACACATCTATATTCTTTGGTGCTAAAATGGCACTATAGGCCATTTCTTTAAAATTCTCAGAATCAATACTATTTGCAAAAATCTCTTCTGCTAAGTCTCCATAACTAATACACTCGGAAGGCAATTTAATGGAATCATTTTCATCATTCCAATTGCCATTCCCTATTTCAATCAAATCTCTAGCAAACTCTTTCTCTGTTTCCAGAGCTCTCATATTTCTAGACAACTTATATTGCTTAGCAATATTCCAATACTCACTTCTTTTTATGGTCGAATTGACTATCTCAGCTCTTGTGGCATGTTTCTGAATTGGCAGGGTTTGACGAAAGTCGCCCGTCCAAAGCATAACTTTGCCACCAAATACTAAATCATTGTTCATAATTTCTCTTAACTTTTCATCTAGTGTTCGCAATGCGCGCTTATTTATCATAGGCGCCTCATCACATATGAACACCTCAGTCTCTTTCAACTCGTTCCATGTCCTATTTCTAGGGCCAATGTTAGAGTTGCTCATATCTAAAGCTAAACAAAATCTATTATGCATTGTTCTACCGGCAGGCATCAAAGTAGCTGCCATACCGGTAAAGGCCATAGTACAAATTCTCTTTTTCTCACCTCTAAGCATATGAACAATTGTATTGTTCACATGCGTCTTACCTGTTCCACCTGGTCCACTTAAAAAGTAGAACGCAGGTTCAGGAACAGATCTATTTACTCTATTCAAAATCTCATCAACTATTAATCTCTGCTCATCGTACATACTTTCGTATGCACTTAAGCCTAATTCTCTTTCTTCTTTAGCATTGAACGTCATTTCGACGTCCTCAGCTAAATCTATTTGTTCCATGGTAGGAAAATCAGTAAGTGATTTCCCACCCTTTACAATACTCAAAGCTATTTCTCTGTATGCTTTCGCATATGCTAATTCTTTCGAAAAATTTCTAATGAAATCTTCCGCTAAGAAATCTCTAAACATCAACCAAAGCTCATCCGGTTGAGAAGGATTGCAATGGACTAAGATCAAAGCAAAAAAATCTCTCAATTTTCTAGGCATCTCAAAACTCGCTGCCTCTTCTAAGGCCTTTTTCCACTCTTCATCATTTCTAATTAACCCTCGTTCAAGACATGCTTCAGAAAAGGTCGTACAGACTTTAACTGAGCCGTCTGAACGACTAAGTCTTGAGCTCCTCATAAGAGGAAGCTCCTCTCACATTCAACAACAATAGCCGTAGGTGGTATCGTTCAGGCTCAGCTGGTGATACTTTAACCATGCGACCAATTGCGTTAAAATGTGACTTTCTCTCAGTCCACTTTCCTTTACTAAAACAAAACTTTTCAGGCAACTGATGATACAGTAAAGCCTTCGAAGTCATGTTTATCTTATTCAAAGCAAAATAAGCTAATAACTCAGAACAATTTCTTGTTCTTTCTAGGATCTCTTCTTCACTCATTGTCTCATCAAAATAACAAATTTGCTCGCCCTGCAGATGAACTGGCAAGGCCATAATACTATGACTTCTATCATACATAGGCAATTCTAAGATTCGCCAGACTGCCTCCTGAGGACAGACATATCTAGCGTCTATGAACTCTTTTACTTCATCATGATCATTTCTAGTCTCAAGTTCTAATCTTGCTCTATCCGGTGGTTTATGCACATACTTGTGCAAGTATTTCACCGAACTAATGCTATTAACTTTTTCAAGGTTAATATGGCATCTAAATACTTTCAATAGATAAGGATTGTGAGGCACAACCCATCTATTGTCTAATTCTACTCTGTTTCCAGAGACTAAGACTTCCACTTTTCTACCATCATCAGGTCTGGCGTATAACGTCAAACCATTCTCTAAGACCAAAGTCTTCTCTTGAAATGCTTTAGGATAACCCTTAGAGCATTTCCTAATCTTTTTTCCATTTTCTAGGATCTCTTCCATGCATGGGGAGTTTGGATTCAAACTTCCACATGGACCATGGATCATAAATCTCTTTACTAAATCAAATATCTCAGTACCTTTTTCGGGTATTCTAGCACTAATACCTCTTTTATCAACATCATCAGATGTCAATAACTTGTCCTCTTCGGAAAGAGTCAAAAGCAAGTGTATATGAGGAAGGCCCCTGCCCTGATTCTCCACAGGATACATCCAGGCAAGAACACTTCCAAATATTCTAAGCTTAACTATTTGCTGCATAACAGCCTTTACTTTCAAATAAAACACTCGAACGACCAAATCTGGCCGATCGCTAGTAACTTGATCATGAAACAAATTATTTACAATCTCAGACCACATAGGGTTACATGTCATAGTCAAGAAAAGGTCTGGATTTCCAAACCTTCTGACTACGGCCATAGCATCTTGAAAATGCTTCTCAACATATCTAGGACTATTTGTCACACTTGGAGGAAGGATAACCTTCCGACCAAGCGGCAAACCTAATTCTTGCGATCTAAGAAACATCATATTATCGATGTTCTTATACGCCTCAGCACATATTTTCTTTTGATTCATACGAATCCATCTCAATCTATCTCCTTCTATCTTCACATACTCATCAACACAATACTGCTGAAAAAGTTTTCCCCCATATAAAATAGGATTGAACTCTTTCCTAATGGCCAAGCTGTAGCATACATACTGCAGCCTAGTCACTCTTCTAATACTATTATTTTGCTTCAGCTCAGGATGCCAACCTAGAGTACCACCTGGATAAAAAAGTGGATACGTCATAGGAGTCACCATCGCATCAGCACTATTCAAAATCTTTAACTCTTTACCTCGTTGTCTCACGACAACCTTTGCATCAGGTACTTCCCCGTCGGCGCCGGGTACATACACTGCTGCTACTTCATTTGCTCGTGGTACATTGTACCCTAATCTTCTATCTAATTGCTTTCCGGTTTCAAACAAAAGTTTGATCTCGGTCGGCTCTCTATTTTCTAATTTAGCTTTTTCAAGCTCTAAGCATTCCTCTTCTTTCATCATCATATAAGCCTTAGCAAAAGGGTTACCCCTTCTAATAACATCATACACAGTTCTAAGCAATTCAGGGTCGACTCCGGCATTAGCCTTCGTCATCGCCCTCATTGCCTCAGCAGTATCTACTATGAAGATCTGCCCGTAGGCAGGATCTTCACCTAAGTCTGGATTCAATGCCACATTTAATTTGTGGTATACTTGACCGTATATGCGAAAGCAATACGGCCCTCTTTTGCTAGGATATCTATATCTAAGTGGATTCATCGAAGCAAAGGACACGCTACTATTCAAATGACGGATATTGTCAAAGAAATTCGCATGCCTTGCATCTAATTTCATAAACAAATCTCTCAATTCTTCAGGAAAATCCTGCTCAGGTATATTCAATCCAACAACCTTACCATGATGGCAACAGTCATTGAATGAATTACCTCTAGTCTTTTCTTCTGCAAAATGCAATGCACCACAGTGCATGCACTCTACACTAAGATCACTAAGCTTATTCTCTTTAGCTAAATCTAAACAACTCGCTTGGTACTTGCGTACAGCTTGTTGCGCTAAATCTCTTCTATACTTGCTTTGTCTTTTTCTCTTATCACATAGTCTAAGTTCTCTTTCTTGCTCAGATTCAAGCGATCTTTTGACCGCTTTCCTCTGTCTATCTTTTTCAAGTCTAAGATTTCTAATATTCTCGTCCTCAAGGGACCTCAGAGACTGCTGCCTCTCTCTATCACAAACTAATCTAAGATTTCTAAGATTCTTGTCCTCAAGGGACCTAAGAGACTGTTGCCTCTCTCTTTGACTAACTAATCTACGATTTCTAAGACTATCACTCTCCGCAGCGCGGCTTTTCCTCTTCCTTTCGGCAGCATTGGAGCAGCACGGTTCGTCAGGTTCCATGGGCAAAAAGCCAGCGATCTAGAATCAACACCTTAAAGTTAAACAAAATTTTAACAAAACAAACTTAGAGCAATGACAGGACTCAAACAAACGTTGATGGAATAGAGCACAGCAACGTAGAACAGAGCACAGCAACGTAGAACAGAGCACAGCAACGGAGAACAGAGCACAGCAACGAAAAACAGAGCACAGCAACGTAGAACAGAGCACAGCAACGTAGAACAGAGCACAGCAAGTAGAACAAAGCACAGCAACGGAGAACAAAGCACAGCAACGAAAAACAGAGCACAGCAACGTAGGACAGAGCACAGCAACGTAGAACAGAGCACAGCAAGTAGAACAGAGCACAGTAAAGTTGAGATGTGTTGGTAGCAGTTGTGGAATGACCAAAATACCCTGCTTTTATACTATCTTCTTACCCTTACAACCTAATTCAACTGGCAACGCTTTACTATAAAAGCCCCCATTTCCTCACTCCCCCAAATCATTTTACTATAAAAACCCACTTGTCTATAAAAGGACAAACAGACAGACACACTCTTCTCAATTATATAATTAGATTTTTTTTTTGAAAATATACACAAATACATATTATTTAATTTTAGCTTTATTTATAAAATTGCTGCATATTGCAAAATTACCTTTTTTGTTTTTTAAGGTTAAAAAAATAATATTGGGATTATTAGAAATTAAATTACCCTGAGAGGGTTCGAACCTTAGTCATATTACCCCATAATTTTGGGAGCGCTCCCACTACACCATAAAATATTTTTTCTGTTCTTAAGCTTAATCTTGGGAAATTTTTTCGATGTTAGTAGTAGAGTTCGAACCCGGGCCGGGCCCGGACCGGTTTTTTCCGGGCCCGGTGGCCCGGAACCGGGTATTTTTGAGAAAATCCGGTTTTTCCGGGCTAACCGGTTTTTCCGGTTTTATCCGGAAAAACCGGCCCGGGTGCGATTTTGAGTAAAAAAACCGGGTCCCGGGCCCGGTAATTTTTTGCCGGGCCCGGAGAGTCGCCTCCGGCGGTGAAAAAGGAAGAAATCTGGCCTCTTGGCCTTTCGAAATTCTCAAAATTTTCGCCTGCGGCGCTGAAAAAAGAAGAAATTTTGCTTCATGGCCTTCCAAAATTCTCAAAATTTTCGCCTGCGGCGCTAGAAAAAGAAGAAATCTAGCTCCTTGTCCACACAAATTCTGAAAATTTTCGGCTCCACGGTAAAAAACTATGAATCCCTTCGTATTCATAATCTTCTATATCCCTCCAAATCACTGATATCACATGGAGGCTTCCCAAATACTTCAAATCCACTTATTTTCCCAGACTACAATTATTTCAAAAATTGCGGACTGCGGAAATTTTTTTTCATTTGCGGATACCCAGCTATATATCCTTTATCGCATCTATCCTTTGATTCATCTATTCTTTAATCAATCCTTTGTATGTTTTGCGATCCTTTGTATGTGTGATAATTTTTTAAGTTTTTAATAAATTTAGAAAAAAACCGGGTCCGGGCCCGGGTCTGAAAAAATCCGGTTTTTCCGGGCTAACCGGTTTTTCCGGTTTTATCCGGAAAAACCGGTCCGGGTGCGATTTTGAGAGAAAAAAACCGGGTCCCGGGCCCGGCATTTTGAAAAGTTCGAACTCTAGTTAGTAGCTTGTGCCTTGTATTTACTTTCCTTCACAAAAATTATTTTTTTAATCCGATTTTAATTTTACTCAAAATTCTTTTAAATATTTAAGTAATGCTTTTTTTAAATGTTCTTCAAAATTTACTATTTTAATGACAACAAAGATCAACATTCTCTAAGCATTTTTTAACTGTGTAAACAATTTAAAGTAGATTGAAAAAAAGTAATTCTGGAATTTCTTAAAAATTGGAAACACTCCAAATTATTTTTTTTATTTACATTGCTAATAATTAATGCTTTCCGTCAAAGTTTTTTTCCCTCAATTTTAGTTGATAAAGCAAAAAAAAATTTTTTTTAATCATTAGTTTTTAGTCATTAACTTCAAAAAAAAACTTTTAAGAATTCCTTCCAATTTTTTTATTTTTTCAGTATCTTTAACTAGGATAAGACTAGTATTTCGTAAACTAAGACAGGACAGACCAAATATTTAAAATCAAACTTTATTATTTCCGCTAGGATATATTGTCAATAATGGGACCAAATCGGAGCAGTTCAACTAAGTCCTGGCGACCCTATAACTCAAGTCGGGTTGATAATTTTTAATGTTTTTGGTATCATTGGACAGGGCATTAAATAGGCTACAATATAACAAAAAATCAAAATTTTCGATTGATTGGTAAAAAAGTTGTGATCTAAAAACTTACTTTCTCAAAAAAATCTGATTTTTCGGCGCTTTATCGATCATAACTTTTTTACCAGTCGGTCAAGGATTTTGATTTTTTAGTATATTGTAGCCTATTTAATGCCCTACCCAATGGTACCAAAAGCAAAAAAAGTGACTATCCATTCATAAGTTATAGGGTCCGGGATTCAGTTGAGGTGTACCAGGATCCTTCCCTTGGGTTATCATTAAAATTTGATATTTTAAATGAAAATAGTTGACTAATGAAAAATTTCCAGGAATTATGCATCTTAACTATAATCACTTTCTTCTTTTTACTTTATTATTAATTACTATATTTATGTTGATTACAGGTATTTTTCTGATAGATAATATTTTTATAGTTTAAATTTTAGTTCCATTTCCTGTTGAAAGTACCGATCTTGGTAAACCTTTTAGAAAAGGATGGAAGAAAACGGCTCATTTTTTTGAAAATTTAGGGTGATCAGTTGAGAAATAAAAATTCTGAGGATTTTGATAGAAGCAAATGAACGCTTATTTAAAAGCAATAAAAATTAAAAGATATTTTTTCAATGAACAACTTCTATATATCTCAAAAAATAATACATTAACACTAGGGTAGTTGGCGACCGGTTAATCGAACCGGAACCGTTAGCCGGTGTTTTTGGCGAATTAACCGGATTTTAAAAATTTTTGGCGAATTAACCGGAACCGAAAATCGGGGGTTGAAAACCTGTGATAACCGAAAACCGAGGGAGGTACCGGTTAATAACCCTCGGTTTTCGGTTAATCGGTCGCCAACAACCCAACAAACTACCTTTATTACTTATAGAATTTAATAAAAAAATTTTTGATTAAAATAAAAATTGCGCCCTTAAAAAAATATTTTTTTCAATTTTTTTGTAAAGGATTGCGCAACACTCTAAAATTCCTTCTATTGAGTGTTCAAAATTCGAAAAAATTAAATTTAATAAAACTTGAAAATTAAAAGTGGTTATTGTTAGGTCTATAAAGGAGTTTATTTTAATGGTAGTTTAATGGAAAATTTATTAAAAATTATTGAAAATTATTGAAAAATACAAATGGTTTTTGGCCATATTTTCCACTTAAGAAAATTTATTTTAAAATAAAAATTTATTTTTAATAAAAATTGTGATGACACACAAAAGAAATATTTTTAAAAAATTTTTTTTTGTTCAATTTCAAGATGGAGGAGGGACAATTTTATTATTTCAAAAATTTTTTTATTCAATCCAAGAAAATTTTTTTAATGTCTATATAAATATAGACAGAACCAGGAACATAACACAATTTAAATTTGTTAAAACTCCTAAAATTGTTAATAAATTTAACATTTTAATTTAATTATGAATTCTTCCTATATGGTTTCCTTTACATTTTTGGCCGTTTTTGGGCTTTTCTTAAACCAATGTGGAGGTAGGTATATTTAAATTGATATATGTCGGATTTTACTGTATGACACACCCTTAGGGCTGGAAAATTTGATTTTATGATGGATCCTAAATTGGAGGTATCACTTGAGGGTATCACATAGGCAGTTCCATGGAGTAGTCAATAAAGGTTAAAAAGGTACCTTAAATCGAGGTTATCTAGGTGTGGGTGTCTTTCACATTAAGACCTAGCTGAGCTAGTCATCATAATCTGGTCCAGAAGAGAATCTTCTGGGATAGTTAAGTGCTTAGTCCCAGAGGATTATTTTTAGAGACTTAAGCGATAAAAATACGAGGCAGGCATGACATGACCAAGAATCTGTTTTGGAAGTCTGCTTTTATTACCTTCTTGATTTCCAGGTCAACAACCACCACCACCTAAACCGGCAACTGTAACCGCTGTAAAGCCAGGAGCACCACCACAAAAGACTGGAGCTAACAAAGATTCTTCCGAATCAGAAGAGGATGACAAACAACACCCAAAAACAAATGCTACAGGGGCTGCTCCCCAACCTCTCCCAGCATTTTGTCAGCAAAACGCTGCAGACCCAGCAGTTCAAAAATGTTGTACAGCCTTGAAAGCCCATAAACCACAAGGAAATGTAAAATTGCCCGAATGTGTTCAATGTGGACAGAAGTGTAATATACCTGCCCCTGTCCCTGCTCAGGGGGCTCCTGCTCATCCACAGGTGGCTGGAACTCCTTCAAAACCACATTAAATGATAGCTGTGAGAAATTAAAAATTAACAAGATTAAATATATCAAATTGATAAGATAACATTTTTTAAATAAAATTTAACAATTTATCATTTAAATAATCTGACTATAATAAATTGCATATAAAACTAAACTTTGACACTATAAAAGACTTGAAAAAATAATTTAAATAATATTAATAAGTTGGTGTAAATTGTAATGATAGAATTACAATTGTAAATATAAGGAAAAACAAAGTAAGTGACAAACTTAAGTACTTAAGAAACAAGTTTAATAAATAATTCTGAGAGAGAAAAACAAGTTTTCCAAGTTTGTAAACTTAAAAAATTGTAAACTTAAAAACAAGTTGGAAAAACATGTTTGTGTTTTCCCTTGTTTATTTGATGTTTTGCGAACTTTAAAGGTTTATCAAAGTCTGTCCTTTCCAAACACTTTAAGTCTTCTAACTAAAATTATTTTAATAAATTTATTTTTAAATATTTAAATAACCCCCAAAATCAAGCAATCTTTGGTCTTTATGATTTAATAATCCAAAAGCTATAGCTCTATCACTGCAACACTCATTAATTTGGAGAATTGTAAAATTTAGAGACTTAATTAAAACAAATATTTTAATTAAACAAAACAAAAACTTTTTTAGATTGAAGTTGTTCAGATTTGGAAAAAATAGCCCTCAAGTTACGCTTTACAATAAGAGGCCTTGATTCCTTAATTTTAAATTATTAATTGTTTAAGACAAAAATACAACACATTATTTAAAATACAAAGCTTTTTTGATTAAAAACACAAATTATAAAACACAAACATTTAAAATTTTAGAAAATACAAAGAAATTTATTATTTAAAAACACTTGTTTTTATAAAACACATTACATCATGTTTATTTAATCAAGTTTATTTAAAAACAAACAAGTTTATTTAGAATACAAATGAGCATTGTTTCGCAAACTTAAAAAATTCTAATATTAAAATTAAAACACAAACTTTTCACAATTAAAAAACACAAACAAGTTTAATTTTCAAAAACACAAGCGTTTTACATTCCCTAATCAAGTTTATTTAAAAACACAAAACACATTTTACACAAACACAACACACAACTCAAACAAAACATTGTTTCGCAAACTTAAACATTCAAACACAAATAACATACAAACAAACACGAAATTTTACAAACACAAAACAAACACAAATAAACACAAATACAAAAACAAACAAACACAAACAAACATAAAATACAAAGTTTTAATTATAATAACCAACTTCATCTATCGGATCCAACAAAGCAATTCCCATTTGTATAGCACACCCACCAATTGTTCTTCCCGTATGTTGAGGCACTCCTCGAGCATTAATTTTATAAAATAAAATAATTTTCTCCCACCAACTTGTAACATAATTTGTAGATTGTACTCCACACAATCTGCTTATTGTAAAAAATGCTTTAGGGCTTATAATGATCGGGACATCTGTTGATATTGTAGCGGAAATTGGCCAATCTGTTGAGGAAATTCCAAAAAATGGAAATAAATTGGAAAATATTGAACGAAGTAAATTACTTGATAAAACAATTATTTCGAAAAAATATTTTAAAAATTTTTCTTACATTTTTGTCTGCCTAGAACCAATAATTAAAGGGACATTATCATCCACCTTGTTTAATAAATCAAGTAAATTATTTGTGTGAATATAACTATAAATTTCTATTTTTTGAGATTTATTGAAAGATTTGCCTCTTCCCATCTGAAATAATAGTCCAAAGCTTTTCATCACGTTTACCCTCGTTAATGGATTTATTGTCTACATAATGAAGAATATATCTAACTAACGGCCAGTCGTTTGTATTTAATGGAGAAGTTTGCCCCTGAACTAGCAAAATTCGAGAAGAAACATTTAATACATCTATAAATAAACAAACATTAAGATTACAATATTAAATTATGATTTACAATCTTAAAAAAGTTTGTTTGTTTTAGATTAAAACAAGTTTAAGCTATGACTTAGATACAATCTTAAAAAAGTTTATTTGATTTAGATTAAAACAAGTTTAAGATAGGACTTAGAAATTACAAACTTAAGAATAGAACTTAAAATAAACTTTGAAATTACAAACTTAAAAATAAACTTTGAAATTACAATCTTAAAAATACAACTTAAAAATAAACTTTGAAATTACAATCTTAAAATTACAACTTAAAATAAACTTTAAAAATTACAAACTTAAAAATAAACTTTAAAAATGAACTTTAAAATTACAATCTTAAAAATACAACTTAAAAATAAACTTTGAAATTACAATCTTAAAATTACAACTTAAAATAAACTTTAAAAATTACAAACTTAAAAATAAACTTTAAAAATAAACTTTAAAATTACAATCTTAAAAATACAACTTAAAAATAAACTTTAAAATTACAAACTTAAAAATAAAACTTAAACTTAAAAATAAACTTGAAAATAAACATGAAAATTACAATCTTAGAAATTTTTACCAGCATAACGTTGTTGTAAACTTGCAGAATCAGTGAAAAACAACACTTAAAAATTACAACATTTATTTTATTTTCAAAATTGTAAAACTTGCATTCTTTACAATCTCTTCCCCAAGTATCTAAAATAGCAGAAAATTCTTTTTCTGGTTTTTGACGCTCCCCAGAAGTTAATAAAACAATACAACGTAGCGTTAAATTTCGTTGTTGTTTTCTTCTTTCTTTAATTAGTTGACTAGGCAAAATATTGAAGAATGGATCTAATTAAATTATTTCTTGAAAAATTTATTTATAAAATACCGGGAGTATGAATATTAACTGTAAGAAAATAATCATCATCAAACATACTAATACATAAGCCTAAAAATATTCCAAGAGCAATGCCAATAAATAGCTGATTTCCGTTGCTGAGCATACGTAGAGAAGTTGTCATTGTTAAGATTATTTACAAATAAATGGGTGTGTTTTACAAATTGTAAAAAGTTTATTTACAAAATAAACTTAAAAAAGGTTTTTACAAAACATGTATTTTCTTAAAACATTAAGATTATGCGAAAACACAAACGTTTATTTTTAAAAGCAAAATAAAAACAAGTTTTTACAAACATACGTTTTCAAAACATGTTTAATAAAAGTTTTAAGAAAACACACAAAACACAAATTTTACAAACTTGAAAGTTTTTGTATTTTGAATAAAACACAAAAAAGTTTATTTCTAGGCGCAAAAACAAAACATGAAAAACAAGTTGTACAAACATGTGTTTTCAAAACAACATGTTTATGAAAAAATACAAATTTTAAGAAAGACAGTTTCAAGAAAAAACACAAAAAATACAAAACACAAACTTTAACAACTTGAAAGATTTGTATTTTCAATAAAACACAAAAAAGTTTTTTTTCAAAACAAATAAAAAATACTTAAAAATACAAAAAATTAATTTTTTAAAATTTGTTGCGCAGATCTATAATTTTTTTTATAAGGAATCGATTTTTGCGCATTTCAATTCTGATGGGGGCGAATGAAAGTTGATGAAGAAAATTTTAACTGGAAGCGAGGGGAAAGTAAGGTAAACAAAGGCAAAAATAGTTTTTCTGCAGTTTATTGATGGCAAGGTCATTTATGTTTATTCTCATTGAAAATTTACTCAAGTAAAGAACAGAAGTTTTTAAAAATTAAAAAAATAAATTAAAAAAAAATTTTTAAAAAATTAAAAAAATTAGAAAAACGAGAATTATCAATCAAAAAAAATAAAGTGCACTCACAACAATTATAAATCCAATATAATTGTTTTTGAAAAGTTTTTACAAGTGTATGTGATTGAAATAATTTGAGTAGAAATTGAAGCAAAAAATTATTTTTAATCCCTAAAATTTATTGTAAAAACATTTTTAAAATATTTTACAATTTCAATGTTTTCAGGTTTTAATTTACAAACAAGTTCGTTTGTCGAAAACACAAACAAGTTGTAATTAAAATACAAACAAGTTTATTTTTAAGAAACACAACAAGTTCTAATTCAAAAACAAGTTTAATTAAAAAAAAACAAGTTTTAATTTAAAAACACAAAAACATTTTTTTATTATATGAAAACACATGTTTTAAGATTAATAAAAACAAACTTGAAACTAACATAAAAACAAACAAAACACATTTCTAACAACAAAACACATGTTTAAATTAACTAAAAACATGTGTTATTCTTTATGTGTTTTATTTTATTATTTTTGTATTTTCTTTTTTGTATTTTCTTTTAATCCATTTAATAAATGTTAAGCTGCAGAAGCCACCCATGCATTAAAAACTATCAAATAATTGTTCCAACTGCTAAATAAATAAAATTATTAAAAAATTTTTTATTTTCAAAATATAATTTTTCCTTGATTTCCTTTGTTTTAAAAATATTGATGATTTTATTTACAACATTTTTATTTTACACAATGGAAAAAGGGAAATGAAAGCTTCTTTCTTCCATTTATTTAAAGCTTATCTCATGGGAAAAGCGCATTTTAATGTCGAGAACTGGCCAGTTCTTTATATTTTTGTTCCTGCTTTTCATCATTTTATTTTGTAAAATTACCCAGATGTTGAACTAGTATTTTTAAAATAAAATTAGAATTTTTAGAATTTTTTTAAAATTATTAAAAACAAAAAAAAAGGAAAAAAATCGCAAATTTATATCAAAAAGTTCTTTAAAAAATTCAATTTTTCCAATTTTTGGGAGTATTTTCTCGTTCGAATGCCATTTTTGTTTTGCCATTCTCTGTCTGTTAGTAGGTATATATTTATTTTTATTTTACCCAATACTAGCAAAAACATTTTGGCCATCCATGCTAATTCTATTCTACACGCATCCACACTAGCTCTATATTTCTATTAATGCTTTTTCTATTTTATGCGAGAAAATGCATTGAATTGATGAAAAATTTTTTTTTTCATTTTTTTAAATTAAATGAACACAAATAGACAAAACTTTAATTTTACTTTTTAAATTAAATTTTTTTTAGAATAAAATATTTTTAAAATAAATTAAAATTTAAAATTAAAATAAATTATTAAATAAGTTTTTAATAAATAATTTATCGCTTCACTTAATTTTTAAATAATTATTTTTAATTAACTATCCAACAATGGGAACCACCCATAATTAATGCGCACTTAATTAATACTTAACCTATTTAATAAATGTTATGTAAACATGTTCATTTAAATGTTTTATGTGAATATTTATTTGAACAACTACAAATTTCTTTAAAGACAAATATTTTGTAAAACACAAAACAAACTTCTTGTAAAACACAAAATAAACACAACAAACTTTTTTTAAAACACAAAACAATCATTTTATAAAACACAAACACAAACATAAACACAAACACAAAACAAAAAACACAGACATAAAACATAAAACACAAAAATAGCAATAAACACAAACACAAACAAAACACAAATATACTAAAAATAAACACAAACTTAAACACAAAACAAAAAACACAAACATAAACACAAACATAAAAATAACACAAACATAAACATAAACACAAAACAACAAACACAAACAAATAAAAAAATAAACACAAACTTAAACACAAAACATAAACACAAACATAACAATAAACACAAACACAAAACAAAACATTTTTTCAAGTTTGTAATTTTATTTATTCAAGTTTATTTTTAATTCAAGTTTATTCTTAAGTTTTTCAAGCTTGTATTTTTCCAAGTTTATTTTTTTCTAGTTTGTAATAAATTATTTCATTTATTTATTTAATTACAATTATTATTTAAGTTTTTACAATTACATATATTGTTTCTTTATTATTTTAATACATTTAATTGTATTTTTTGTATTTTCTCTATTTCAACAGAATTTTCAGAATTTTTATTATTTATTGGTTGTCAACAGCAACGAAAATTTTCTCGAAACGGGGAGATTTTTTATAAATAATCGTTCATATTTAATTTTTTCTGTTCAATGCTAATTTATTCATCTCGTTCCTCTCAACAGCAACAAACAAATTTATGGACTGAACAATTTTCTTTTGAACGGCAAAAACTTCGTTTACAAATTGCTAAACAAATTCGTAAACAAATGTCTTCTGTTGTTGGTAAATTAATTTTTAAAGGAAAAATTTCAAAAAACTTTTAGGTCATCTTCCAACTGCCGATTTGTTGCTAATAACCTCTGATAGTCAAAAATTACCTGCTCATTTGTGTATATTAAAAACCCGTGCTCCATCTTTTTACAAACGTTATGTGCAACCTATTTGTAATAATGGACAAGGTAAATAAAGATTTTTTACAATTATTAAATATTAAGTTTACAATCCGAAAAAATAAATATATGTTTTACAATTATTAATTCAACTTTTTTTACAAATTTAAATTAAGTTTACGATCCGAAAAATAAACTTTTTACAATTTATCGTTAAGTTTACAATCCTTTCTAAAATTATTAAATAAATAAACTTTTTTTACAATTATTAAGTTACAATTATTTTTAACAATCCTTTTTACAAAATGAACTTTTTTTACAATCTTAAATAATTTTACAACTCAGAAAATAAATAAACATTTTTACAATACTTTTTACAATTATTAATTAAATAAACTTTTTTACAATTATTAATTAATTTTACAATCCTTTTTACAATTTAGCAGCAACCTTACAACAACCACAACTCTTAGAAATTCCTGTTAATATTGAATTTAGTGCATTAGAATTTTTTATTCGCTCAATTTACACAGACGAGGAAGTTTTAGAAATGGATATATCAACAAATTTAGATAAATTAAACGGGTCTTCGGTTGACGATAATAATGATGATGCAGAAGGAAATTTTGATAGTCAAAGTAGTGGGAATGATCAAAAACCGGAGGGGTTTTCTAGTAAAATAAATTTGAGTCAAAATCAGCAAATGTCTGCTTCGTATCCCTCCCCAAACTCCCCTCGAGAGATGTTAATGCCTGAGACAATAAATAATTCTAGTTTGGCAAACAATGAAAGAAGGTGTTTGAGTCAGGAAATTTTTGGGTAATAAGGGGGGGGGGAGGGTGTATTTTTAAAATTTAAATTTTATTCTACAGACAGACCACAGACGACAATCAAGTGAGAAAACATTCAGCAATCTTTCCATATTTTATCAAAATGGGAATAGAAGAAGAGGAAGAAGGTTGCAGTACAAGTAGAACATATTGTGGCAGTACAGGGGTAATGAGTCGGAGTTTACCTCTTTCAACTGGTAGCAATAGAGGAGAATCGCCTCATTCGAGAGATAGTTTTGATGTAATTTTTAAATATGTTATATCATTAAGCTATGTACTTGGGGTGGGTTAAGATAGAGTTAAACAACTATTCCTATCCTTCAGGAGGGGAGGGGGGGGGGGGGAAGGAAGAGGGATAAGGCAGAGTATATCAACTCTTCCTGTCCTCGAGGAGGAGGGTGGAGGGAAGGATAAGACAAAGTTTATCAACTCTCCCTGTTCGTAGGATGGGATAAAACGGAGTATCGACTCTTCCCGTTCTTGGTCAGTCGGGAGGGGGGGGGGGGGGGAGGGGAGAGATGGAGTAAGGGGGATGACGGAGTTTATCAACTCTTTCCTTTATCTCAACATTTTCAGTGTAATACAATCCGCGGCCGTGCAATAGCTGCTCGTCGCCGTCAGAGCTTATGCTCTTCCCTTAGCTCCCTAACTTCAATAGACATCTTAACCCCAACACAAGAAATTGCCCCAGCTCCCGTTTTTGACGATCAAAATGCAGCAGCTAGTAAATTAGCTGGAGATTTACTTAAAATGCTTGTGGAAGAAAGAGATTCGGCCGATGTACTTTTATTGGCAGCTAATGGAGAACAAGAAAAAGCCCATTCATGTATATTGTGGGCATGTGGATCTGAATTTTTTAGAGTAAATTAAATTGATATACTGTTGGATACATAAGATGCTTAGATAATGGACACATAGATACCTCTATATAATGAAATCCTCTAAGGGTTACCCTCAATTTAAGATACCCTTCGAAAAAGGTATCTTAAATTGAGGTATGCCACTAGGGGGGGGGGGTGGGGTTGGTGTTTAAGGGTGTTTAGGCTAAGTGAGGGAGGAGCTGTTAAGCTAGGTGTTTAAGCTAAGTGAGGGAAGAGGGGCAGAATAGTTAACTGTCTAAACTAGCCTTACTACTATAGATTAGGTAGGGAGGCTAGTGGAAGATACACATAAGCAATACCCTCCCAAAAGTTGTATTTATATATCTATGCGTCACTTGAATCCGAAAATTCAGGAACAAATATCTTCACAATCCACTCGACTTTACAACATAGACTTGCCTCGATTTTCTCGAACTTCTGTTGCCTTCCTTCTTCAATTTATTTATGGAGGATTAACCTGCCTTCCTGCAACTATAGGGACTGACAACGATGCAGAGCTTTTAGATCCATGGGAATTGGTTGAATTGGGGGCCTTTACTAAAGTGGAAAGTTTTGTTAAAGTTGTTGCTTTACATCTACGAGCTGTGGTAATTTTGAAGCTTCTTAAGCTTCCCGAAATTTCAATCAAACATTTTAAAGCACTGCCACTTCTTTCACCGTCCATGTGCTTCTTGCGTGTCAGCCGTTTTTGAAGCATTACCCAAAATTGAGCGTGAAATTCCCGTAAAGTTAAAAATATTTTTATCAATCTATGATTATGTTATAGGAATTAAAACAGCTTTTTAATGATGCAATGCAGTGGCAAGCTGCGCATTTTACTCGTATTTGGAAGGGTATATTTAATTAAATTATTTAAATTTCCGTGAAAGGAGGACTATCTCATGGTTACACATAGAGTTCAACCGGATCGGGATCCCGATCGGGATTGGGCGGGATTTGGATGTGCATCAGATCCCGATGCAAATCCCGATCACTTGTCAGATGGATTTCTTTCACCCAGAATCTGCCTATCCACACAAAATCAGCTAACTTTCTCATCCTTTAAAGAAAATTTTTGGAATTTCAGAGGGTCAAAAAAGCCAGAGATTCTCTATTTTCCTCTCGTTTTTGGTTCAGTTCCGAACCGAAAACACTCAAAAATATTATTTTTTGGACCTTAAAAAATTTATATTTTTTGTATTTTCAAGGCCGCATATTTCTCCACCTTTCCTTCCAGTGGCAAAAACATTGTAGAGATGTTCTTCTACAATCCATAGGTACTTGACCAAAATTAAAAATCTTCTAAAAATTCTGTCCAGATGAAGAAAATGTTGTTGATGTCCTACTAGGGTGCGAAAAGCTTAATTTAGCTTTACCCAGAGTCAAGCAACAAATATCGGCACAACAAGTACTTAGGCTAGTTAACGATGTAGAGGAATATTGTATGGAGTTTTTAACGAGTTCATTGGATTCGTTAATTCAATCTAAAGCTTTTTGGTTTGCAAAATCAGTGAACAATTTAATTAAAAAATAATTTTTCTAGCTCCTACGGGAAAGGCTTAGCGTTGAATTTAGCCCTTCTCGAAGATATACTTCCAACATTAATTCACTCCCTATGTCCAGAAACAACTATACGAACATTTGTTGCTCTAAAAGAGTTTGTGATAACTCAGTTACTTGGAGAAAAAAATTTACAAATTAAAATAAAGTTTAAATTTTGATTTTTAAATTTAATAACCATGAAGTTTACAGTAGTAAGAATGTAATGCAAAAGCGGAGCTTTGATAGTAGCAGTAATACAATGATTAATATTACTCGAGAACAACATAATGTATTGGTAGAGGAATGGAATCCTGTAGGGATTTTAATTATACTGACGGATCTCTCTATAAGATAACCTCTCTATATAGAATACACCTCAGTTTAAGAGACGTCTTTGCGATACTAGTGCCGTTTGCCCAAAAAAATTTACAAATTAAAATAGTCCCTAAGGGAAAGGGTTAGCCTTATATGAATATGAGCTCTATTTCAATTTTTCACTATATGTATTCCCACAAAAATTTTTTTTGGGAATAAAGAGCTCTACTAACCCAGAGTTATTAGGTACAATAAAGAGCACTACTAACACAGAGTTATGGTACAATACCGGACCATTGGTTCTAACACGTAGAGCAGGTTGCAGTTGTCCATGGAAGTATAACCGTTGTTCAATGAGTCGGAGAGATACCTAGGCGGTACACTCTATTTAATATACACCTATTCATAAGATAAAATCGCCAAGCCTAAGGGTGTATCTTATAGCTAGGCCCGACTACAACTAAATCATTTAAAATTATGTTTTTCAGCGGTTCAAAAATCTCTGCCTTAGATTAATTGATCTACTCGAACGCCATATGTTTCATTATGCTTGTTCTATAGTCAATTCAACCGAATGGCCTTTATTAAGTGTGGAGGACCAGAATCGTGTTAATGAATGTTAGATTGATTGTTTAAAAATTTTCAAAATTTTTTTTTTAAAGTTGGCCTCTTCATTGAAATGAGAATGCCTAGAATTGCCCCACCTCGTCTTTCAAGCGCTTCTAGCCATAATTATTGCAAAAGATCGTCTTCTGTGGGGATTTATTCAAGTCACCCAGAGAGGGAATTAATTAGAAATGAAACAATAGTAGTGCCGGAAAGGGCTAGGTCAATGGAAAGGATAAGAGGAGGAGTTGATGGACGTGCAGGAAGTAGTAGACGAACTAGTAGACAGATAAGTGGAGGGTCCTACTCGAGGCCTTCTTCACTAGCTATTCAGGTTAGAGTCTGTTTCTGGGTGTATGTCCTTCAAGATACCCCCTAAAAATTTAGGTCGAAGAGGAGAATTTATATGAAAATGATCAAACAAGCATAGCAACAACAACTACAGTACAACTTGAAAATGAATTGACAACTCAAAGTGGCACAAAAAACGAGCAGAAGTTGGAGAAGGAAACAGCAACTAGAATCCCTGAAAAAACCTCAGAGAAAAATTCCCCTAATAATAAAAATTCAAAGGATCCGAAGCAAGATGAAGAGGAAGAAGTTTTAGAGAATATTCAATCAACATCGACAACTACAATTGATTGTAGTGATCAATCCTTACAAAATTTAGAGAATCAAAAAAGTTTGAAGGAAAATGAATTATCAAATACGGAAGTTAAAAATGATGAAAATTTTGCTGAAAAAATTTCTGAAAATTTAATTATAAATGAGCAAATTGATGGAAAGGAGGGAAGCAAAGAAGAAGATATTCAAGCAAATACAGATCGAAGGGTAAAATTTTTTTTGAATTTCTGTCTGAATAATAATAAATATTAAAAAAGCGGCACTCTCCATTTAAAAAAGTCCACTTTCAAAAAACCCTCTTTCAATCAAGAGGCACTCCGGCACTCCCTCATACGACACTCTCAGCCCGTTTCCTTCTTGCGAATATTTTATGAAAAAATCAGGATCTGTAAAAAATATTTCTGGAAATTAAAAGTGTAGCCCTGAGGAGGCATTGAGCCTGAACATTACTGACAGTTAACTTACCGGTGCTAAGATATCGAGGTACTAGTTCCACCTTCTTTTTTAATAATAGATCTTAAACCTCCGCCTAGTAAGCCTAGCTTGATCCCTTTTTTCCTTATAAGCTTCTTCCTCGTAAACAAAATCCACAAAAATATTTTAATAAAATTAAGCAATCCGTTCCTTCACTAACCTTGCGCAATCGACAACGTACTCATACAATATTAAACGTAGATAGGAAATCTATAGCTGCTGCAGCTCACCAACACAGCAATGTATTAATAGCTAATAATGCCTCTAATACTGAAATGAAGAAGAATGCAGCAAAGCCTCATTCAATAGTTAGACCAATGCCTAAAGTGAGTAATGGACAGGCTACCCTATCAGCATCAGAAGCAACAACTCCAGAATCCTCATCAACACCTTCCACAATTCCTTTGGAGAGAAGAGAGAGACGAAATGTGAAACAACTTACAAATATTGCTTCAACTTCAATTAACAAATCTGGCAAGATTGAAACAAAAGTACAAAAAAGACAAACGGGTGGGGTTACTCAAGGAGTATCACAGCAACAATCACAACAAAGAGTAGGGCAACAAAAAAGTGGAATTAAGAAACCAACAACGGTTACTAGAAAATAAAAATATTTTTTTGCGTATTTTATTATGCATTTGAAGGGATTAATAATATTATTTATATGCTATTGTTTTAGAGGATTATTAAATAAATCCAAATATTTGGACAAAGTTTGTGAACACATAAGTGTTGAACTGATATGTTCGAGTGTTCGTCGGAATAAGGTGGATCGCTGTTAAAAATAGTTGGGGTGAATGGTCATCTAATATTTAGACTTATACGGACTAACATTATCCTAAATTTGATGCTTTTTGACCTCCTAAAAATAAAAAAGAGCATAAGTGCTAAATCATTCTCCATTTCCTCGATCTAATTAGGACTAAATTATGGTGATAAAATATTCCTGATTTTTTAAAAATTTATTTTTTTGTTGCTTTAAAGCTTTCCGATAAATAAAAGAAAATATTAAACATTTTTTTTTCAAGTATTACAAGTAGAAACCCATCTATGTTCCAAACATTCCTTGCATTCCACTCTGCAACACCAAATAAATTTACATTGGCATTTATAGGGAACAACTTGATGCGAGACCTTTTACGTTATAATTTAGTTGATCATCAAATTTTTAAAAATTACCGTATACCCCTTCCCACAGCACAAATTAGTACAATCCCCTTCAGTGTAGGTAGCATTCCTCCAACTACAGATACGAGGTAGGGACCGTTTTCTTTGATGATCGTAATGAAATTGGGAACAAATATTCAATCCGTTGTCGGTATATACCTAAAAAATTTCTCGAAATTAAAAAAAATTTTTTCTACCAATTCAGAACTGTGCACGTTAAGTTGTCCATTGGGCAAAAAACTCGCAACTTTAGCGGTCCTATATTTATGTGCTAAATGTCTGGCAATAGAATTTAAATCTGCTGTCTTTTTCCAACATGTCTTCTAAAAAATTTTTGTTAAAAAATAATTTTTGAAAATTTACTTGTTGACAACTTCCACTAACACCATGGCAAGTACACGATGATGTTAAAGTTCTTCTAACAGCCTAAATAAAATTTTTATGTTTGTAGGCTTAAGAGTATAAAGATATTTTTAATTTATAGTAAAATTCCTTTAAATCTAATCTCAATTGCTCCTAATCCCCCTATATCCCTCTATTGGGATTCATGATTTTAGCGCAGCAGGTAATACGCTAATAATCAAGAATTAAGCAAATTGAAAAAAATTCCGGGATACTGTAATTTGAGTGTTCCAAAAGGGAGAGATCCTGCAGGATTGAAGGGAGAGATCCTGCGCTTCCGGGGCGCTGGTAATTCCTTTGTCGCTTAAAATCCAGGATTCTAATACGGGATCAAGAAAAATTCCGTACAGATCCCTTCCATTGTGATCTTTAATTCTCTACCATTCTTCCAACTTTTAAGTTGTGTTTTTCCAACTTGCGCAACAATTGTTGATTGTTTGGTTTTCCGTTATGAAAACTTGATGTTCGTGTTAACAATTTTCTGGAGGTAACAACTCCGTATTGAACACCATATGAACAACTAAAGTTTCATTTAAATTCTCTAACATTTAAAATTGTAAAACTAACCCTCCCCAATCCCATTCTGATATTCTTCTAACTTGATTTGTTGTTTTACTTTTTAATTCCCCCATATTATTAACACATCTACACTCATCTAGCCATCCCTGTGCGCAAGCTGTAGCAATTCCCCAAGCAACACCAGCTGCAGAAATAGCCCATAAATAGGCAGATTCGGGGAGTGCTAGAAGAGAGATTTTAATTTTTTAAAAGAAAACAGGCTTAAAATACAAGTAAATTCCACAAATCACACAATATTCAAGATAAATTTTTTAACCCAAAACCCTGCTAGTTCTTCCATATTCATCGATATCGTAAAGCACTCTTAACCCTTCTAACCTAATCCCCTCGATTCTTAATCCACTTGATAACCCTCTTGATCTCCACCAGTGGCGGGCGCAAGAGACAATCTTCAAAAACGCCATGATCTCCACTAATCCCTTCATAACTACCTTCTTAATCAATCTTAATATCTACACCAACCCAACATGTATACTAAACCTGATCCCCTCTTGAGAAATACACAAAAGCCTAAAAACACAAGCTTAATTTAGGACTCAAAACCTAAGCAATATTACAATGTTTAGTAAGTGCAGGTTCGTGCAATATAGTCCCAGAATGAGAACAATCCCAACGTTCAAACTTCATTTGTTGTCTACACTCATCCATAGCTTCCAAAATACCCTAAATTAATTCAAATTTAAAATTTCTAATAAAAACCAAACTTCATAAGCTACAATAGCTAATGCTGGCTGTGTTTTGCATAGAAGAGGAAATTGCCGAAAAGTGTTTAGCTGTGTTAATTCTTTTGGGCATCCCTTAAAATTATTTTTATAAAATTTTTTGAAATGTTTTGTTTGAAGGTATGCCCTCTGATATGATAATAGATGGGAAGGGCTTTGATCAAAATAAAAATTTTTAGTTGACCTTGGTGTCCTTGATATTAGTTACCATAAATATTTTTAAATCTCGACCAATGCGAAAGATTAGGCGTTTAATGGATTCGGCGTCTAATAGATATTAGGCTTTTAATAAATTCTTGGCCTATGATTAGCCACAAAGCATCATGCTCAGCCACAGGCATTATAAGATTTTAGCTTTGGCTCCGCAAGAGAATTTTTGCTCAATTTTAGATTCCAAAGCAATACCCTACACTGATATTAACTTAAATTTCTTCAAATTCCTGATCTCTTATTATTGGATAACACAGTTCTGTATAGTTTTGAACATACTTTAAGCAACTTTTCAGGCTTATAATTGAAATTATTATTTAAATATGAGCGTGTATTTGATGGGTGTTGAAGGCTAATTAATTCTTTAAACGAAGAAAATTCGAAACTGGATAATGAAGCAATGAGCAGTATAATAATATATTTAAGAAATAAAATAATATATGAATATATTGGCTTCATATGTAGTATTTAATAATCTGTTGAATTTTCTTAGAAATTAAAGAAATTATGAATTTTGGAGGGATTTTTATAGAATTTTTAGAATATTTTGGAAATTAAATCTTAGGATTAATAATATTTTAAAGTAGGGTAGCTCGCCGAGCGTGCAGGGTCGGAAGTGTCGGGTAAAAATCATCGTGGTTGGGTCGGGGTTTCGAGGGACGGGGTGCTATATTTTAGAATATAATGGAGGGGATAAGGAATATAGGTTGTTGAGGAATTATAAAGCCTTTTAAGTTAAGCTGATCCGGAACAGAGATGGGTCGGGGTATACGAAATATATGGGGTTTTTTGACACGAAATTCGCGACGATTTTACTTAGGCTTGCTCCTGAACCTTAATATATATGCTTTTGAAATTTATTTAAAGAATAGAAATATTTCAATAATTTCTTAAATTAATTAATCAAAAAATTATTTTTTTTATTTCCAAGCATTACAGTAGTCGTAAAATTTATTTGATTTGCGCATAAAAGAGCGCGCGGGGGTTATGAATAAAATTGGTTGTAAAAGAAGATTGCGGAAAAGTACTAAACTTGTAATACATACATAAATTAGAAAAATCGGGTAGAGGGGGGGGGGGGAGTAAAAAATATTTTTGTTGTTGCTCGTAAATTTGTTTTTGAATGACAACGCGGGACAACAACAAAAAGAAGAAAATTGGAGTTATAAATGCGCAGCTTTTTTAATTGTTTTTGGTGATTCCTTTAGAGTCAAGAAATTGGGAATTGGGTGTGGTATGGAATTTTGTTGGATGAATTTAAGTATTTTATTGCTGCCACACCTGTTGAAGAAAGATTTTGATAACCTTATATTTTTGAATTTTATTTAAAAAATTTTTTGATCTGTTAACAAATTAGGATTTTGGACAGACTTGGTAATGGATACGGATACAGATAATTTAAAAATGTACAGATAATTTCAAATAAATTTCGGCCTGTATTACTGAATTCCATGTCCATTACCAAGTCTGATTTTGAATTTATAATACAGGGTGGATAAAAGTAGAGTTGTATCTCGACCTTATACACCAACCCCAAATAATTGAACCCTCAATACCAAACAAAACCTTGTAAGTATAAATTTTTTAAATAGCAAGGGAGCATTCATAAACAAGTTCCGACTGATCCAGGCTTATCTCTCAGGCTTATTTCGCTTTCATTAATTTATAGAGTAACCCCAAAAAATATGAGATTTATTCGAAAATTGCCCAGCAAAATAAAAATTGGTTAAAAATGTTTTTTTCAGACAAATGAAAGAATTAAAAAAACATTTTTTAATTAAAAATGTCTATATGTACATTTAAGAGTGACAAACACAGATGCGCAACATTTTTCCTCATTTCCTTGTAAAAAATGATTGTTTGTATTTAATTTGAGTCAGCCGTTTTTTGATGTTTAATGACTTTTTTGAAAGGAATATTGGTGAAAAATGATTAAATTATGGAAAAAAATCAAAAAAAGATTTTGATTTGACCCAATCTCGTGAATGAATATTTGAATTTTTGCTGAATACAATAATGACACCGATACAATTTATGTATGTTCAGAAATTTTCTCGAAAAAATTGAACAAACTTTAATAACTCCATGTATTTTTGATGGATATAGTAGTACCGATTCGATATTTCGGTAGTACCGCGGTGGTACCGAACTGTGCCGAACACTAATCCCATTCAAAAGATCTCTCAAAATACACAAAACATTGGCTCCGATCTTTGTATCTGCGATTCAGACGTGAAAAATAAATTCTCTATTTTGGAAAATCTGGATTACGACTCAAAAAACAGCCCATCCCCTAAGGACATCGCTCTTCATAGCGAAATACCACTTTAAATTCCATACTCATAATTTTTTCATGTATTCATTTAAAAAATTTCACAAAATTTAATAATCAAGGACATTCAACTATGCAAAAAATTTATACTTATGTTAGATATCAAAAAAATTTTTTAAGTTCAAAATAATATTCGTCAAACATAATTCTGCAAAGTATAATTATCTTTTTGTTTTCAAAAAATATTATTCATTTATTCGTCAAGTAAAAAAATATAGAAACAATAACAACAATAAAATAAGAATTTGGCAAAGATCATCTCTTAATTAATATATTTCATAAATTTTGTTTTGATTATTAAAATAAAATTATTAATGCCTAATTAAATTATATGTATATCTATGATGATGGGAAACAATCCTAAATATTTTGCAGAAATCCTCCTATTCATATTAACAATGAACTAACTTCAGCTAAGTATTCGAATCTGATCATGCAGCATGAAGGCCTTTGTCAGAAGTTTAAAAGGCGAAAAACAAAACACCAAAAAATACCCTCTGGCATTTAGGAAAAAATCCTAAAACTAACAGCAACACGAAGCAGACCTGTGCATGGACACGGGTAATGGTATCCATATCCGGATATATACGGCGGATACAGGCGGATATCCGCAGGCATGTTAATATTATCGGTATCCATATCCGTATCCATGCACAGGTCTGACTGGAAGGACTCTTTTTCGTTCTTGTATCATATGTAACAGATTTTAAATCTAAGTTATAAAATCTACAGTTTAATTGATCAATGCTCTTATGATCTAATAAATATACCCACATATTTCACTATTATAATTTAAATAAAAAATAATAAAAATCTATATTTCCTTTACTGATTAAAAGATTTAATTCATATAATGATTGATTAACTCCTTCCCCCTCCGTTAAACTTTTTTTGGTGAAAGAATTTTTTGTTTAAAAATTGTATATTTGTAAAATATTAACAACCATTTGATGGGTTGATTAACAAATTTGGTGAATAACTTTTCTTTGACTCACTTTAAAAAGAAAATTGTGAATGACTTGATCAATTAACACAAAATTTTCTTTTTTACAAACCTTCTAAATAAATTTGTTCTAGAACAAAAAATATATTTATTTAATTGAAAGATTGTGAAATTATCAATTTACATTGATTAAGGTTAACTTTCTTGTCAATTGATATACCTATTTTTATTTATCGAAGTCTAGACACTTTTTAATAATCATTAATTTTTTTTGTCAGTTTTATTTAATTTCTGATAGCTACAATAATTCAGAATAGAGCTCCGTACTTCCTTGCTTCTCTCAATCCTTCGAATACTCCTTCGTCATTAACTGTCATTTTTATTTAATTCTTGATCTAGCCATATGATATATAATTCAGCTATATGGATATTTAAGTAAATGAATGATCATTAGGGCTGGGAAAAACAAGCAAATGCATATTTTGTATGCCGATATGCCATGATGAAAGAAGCTTTTTACATAGTAGGTACTGATCATGTATAGGTACTGATCACCCACCCACTGAGCATGTATAAGTAGATGAATGATCATCCATATTTACTCAATTAATTCTCTTCAATCTCGATTAATCCGAATTCCTAGAATTTTTTGATAGTTCCCCTTGAATAATTCCACATACTAAGGTTGTATTGAAAAAATAATTTCCGAGGGGTATTAATAGAGCATATATGATCGTACATAACGGCTTCCCATACTCGAACCGGAACATACCGGTGACCTATTGACATAAGACCTCTTAATTAATATGGTCATTGTTATTCGGTAAAGAAAATCTCCAAAATTTTTGCATGACTAGTATTTACAATAATTTATTTTTACAAAATTCAAGTGTTCTCACAGAATAACAAAAATCGTCATAATTCCGTAAATTTAAAGTACTGCCAGTAAACGTCACAAAAAATTCGCCAAATTCTTTCATAATAAAATTTCGGTATTTCTTTTTGAAATTTTATTTGATTCACATTTTTCTCTCCCACACAAATATAAAGAATTGAAAGTCCAAAAATTTTACTTAATTAAATTATACACGTCACTTGAAGGCGTGTTACTAAATAAAGTTTTTTGTTTGATCGGAAATTTATATAAAATAAATATTTAATTAAATAAATGTCTGTCATTATAATTTTTAAATTATTTTCCCCAAAAAATATTTTTTAATACTCTAATAATATTTTTAAAATATTATTAAACTTTAATTTTTAAAGACAAAAATAGTAATTGTTTTTATTACAATATTTTAATTAAATATATCAATCAAAATGCTTGGAATGATGAATTGCCCTACTGAAGTATGTCTTTAAATCTATTTTAATAATTATCAAAATATTTAAGAATAACATGGATATAAATTTAAAAAAATAAAAATTTAAAGGTGTTAAGTTTGATTAAGGGTAGGAGGGATTTAAGATATAATAGAGGGGTTACATTAAAATCGAGTCTACCATAAGATTAGCAACGGTATTCTAACTCAATCTAGGAAAGTTTTTGAAATTTCGATGGTTGCGTAGATAACCCCTCATTTAAGATCTTATTATTAAAAAGAAGATTTTCAAGCTATACATAATTGACTTCACTATTACATAGATATCCTTCGTTTAAAAATAAACAAGTTTTTAAAGCGGGATTCATGTGTATGTAACATAATTAATGAAGTTTTTTTTTACATACATAATGAACTAAAAGATAAACATAAAAATCCAAATCAAATTTTTTATATTAACTTTTCCTAAATTTTTTGGAGAACTTTGAGTTCTACTCAGCTTCACCGTCTGCCCTTCGCCAACTAAATTCATCAAGATCAGGTGCAAATTCCCCAAAACCTGACAGATCAGAAGGTGACAGTGTCTCTTTAGATGAAGAAAGAATGAATAAAAGACGTGGTTTGGAAGTGTTTAGTCAAGTTAAGCAACGACCAAAAATTACTTATACGCCTGGTATGGAATTTTAAATTGATCTCATTATGGGATATCCGTTTTTTATACACGTCGAGTTATGATCCGGTTTTAAGACCTACCCACTCAGTGCTCTTATTGGTCTCACACACACTCTAGATTCCCACTAAGCCTTCCCCTATTTAAGATGACCTTAATTTAAAATAGGTGGAGAGGGTATAGAGGGTATAAAAAGTATATACGGATTGGGGGAGGAGGTAGAGGTATGAAGGTTATAGGGTATATAGGTTGTAGGGTATAAGGGAGAATATATAGGCTGGAGGCATCTCATAATAAAGTTATATACTGTATATAGCTAATAAATAAAGTTTTTTTTAATTAATCAGATGGCAGAAGAATGATTGGAGGTAAATTGGAAGCTCCAGAAAGCAAGCCTGACGAGCTTTGGGGAAAGCTGATAGTTGATTCCGTAACAAAAAGAAAATTTTTTGGGAGTCAAGAACAAAGTAGTAGCAAACAAAATGACAACGAGGAGAGTCAGATAAAGATAAAAAATGTAAATCAGAGTGAGTTTAAAATTTTCTAAATATCCTACTAATGAATTAAAGACATTCAGAACGAAAATTCTCATTTGGATCACTCTTCACGAGGCTGAGAAAAGGGACTATTACAAATAATGGTTCAGATAGAAATACCTCACCAGATAAAGTACAAAAAAAGAAAACATCGATAATTTAAATTTTTTAAAATTTTAAAAATTAGAAATTTTATATTTCTTTTTTCATTCGGATTTTTATTTTCAATTAAATCTTTAATAAATTTAAATTTTGATATAAATATTCATGATATAGGTTTTAAAAGAGCGATCAAGTTGAAAAAACATTATTAACAAAAAACATAGAGATCGGACCGTACCGTACCACGGCCGTATTTTTCGGTATTTATCGGTATTCCGTATCGGGTGTAAGCACGAATACGGTACGGCAAAATTTTGAAGTTGATCGGTATTTTTAGGTATTGGTATTTTTCGGAACGGAAACAAAACATAATACCGATCGATAAAAATTTTTTAAGTTTTATTTTAAGCGAAAAAAGACTCGGCCTTTGATAATTTTCAAAATTTTCGCCTGTGGCTTGTTGAATGTATAAATAACTTACTGTATATTAATAGGGTATAGTTCGTCTTGGTATATTAGATACTATATTTAATGGAGATGCGAATGGTATATCGTAACCCAATTCGCGATGATTACTTCATCGGGCAAATCCACTTTGAAGATATCAGTCAAAAAAATAACCCAAAATTATTAATCCATAAATAACTTACTGTATATTTATAGTGTATAGTTCGTCTTGGTTTATTAGATACTATATTTAATGGAGATTCAAATGGTATATCGTAACCTAATTCGCGACGATTACTTCATCGGGCAAATCCACCTTGAAAATTTTAGTGAAAAAAAAATACCCCAAAATTATTTATCCATAAATAACTTACTGTATATTAATAGGATATAGTTCTTTTTGGTATATTAGATTCTATATGTAATGATGATTCGAATGATATATCGTAACCCAATTCGCGATGATTACTTCATTGGGCAAATCCACCTTGAAAATTTTAGTGAAAAAAAAATACCCCAAAATTATTTATCCATAAATAACTTACTGTATATTAATAGGATATAGTTCTTTTTGGTATATTAGATTCTATATGTAATGATGATTCGAATGATATATCGTAACCCAATTCGCGATGATTACTTCATCGGGCAAATCCACCTTGAAAATTTTAGTGAAAAAAAAATACCCCAAAATTATTTATCCATAAATAACTTACTGTATATTAATAGGATATAGTTCTTTTTGGTATATTAGATTCTATATGTAATGATGATTCGAATGATATATCGTAACCCAATTCGCGATGATTACTTCATTGGGCAAATCCACCTTGAAAATTTTAGTGAAAAAAAAATACCCCAAAATTATTTATCCATAAATAACTTACTGTATATTAATAGGATATAGTTCTTTTTGGTATATTAGATTCTATATGTAATGATGATTCGAATGATATATCGTAACCCAATTCGCGATGATTACTTCATTGGGCAAATCCACCTTGAAAATTTTAGTGAAAAAAAAATACCCCAAAATTATTTATCCATAAATAACTTACTGTATATTAATAGGATATAGTTCTTTTTGGTATATTAGATTCTATATGTAATGATGATTCGAATGATATATCGTAACCCAATTCGCGATGATTACTTCATTGGGCAAATCCACCTTGAAAATTTTAGTGAAAAAAAAATACCCCAAAATTATTTATCCATAAATAACTTACTGTATATTAATAGGATATAGTTCTTTTTGGTATATTAGATTCTATATGTAATGATGATTCGAATGATATATCGTAACCCAATTCGCGATGATTACTTCATTGGGCAAATCCACCTTGAAAATTTTAGTGAAAAAAAAATACCCCAAAATTATTTATCCATAAATAACTTACTGTATATTAATAGGATATAGTTCTTTTTGGTATATTAGATTCTATATGTAATGATGATTCGAATGATATATCGTAACCCAATTCGCGATGATTACTTCATTGGGCAAATCCACCTTGAAAATTTTAGTGAAAAAAAATACCCCAAAATTATTTATCCATAAATAACTTACTGTATATTAATAGGATATAGTTCTTTTTGGTATATTAGATTCTATATGTAATGATGATTCGAATGATATATCGTAACCCAATTCGCGATGATTACTTCATCGGGCAAATCCACCTTGAAAATTTTAGTGAAAAAAAAATACCCCAAAATTATTTATCCATAAATAACTTACTGTATATTAATAGGATATAGTTCTTTTTGGTATATTAGATTCTATATGTAATGATGATTCGAATGATATATCGTAACCCAATTCGCGATGATTACTTCATTGGGCAAATCCACCTTGAAAATTTTAGTGAAAAAAAAATACCCCAAAATTATTTATCCATAAATAACTTACTGTATATTAATAGGATATAGTTCTTTTTGGTATATTAGATTCTATATGTAATGATGATTCGAATGATATATCGTAACCCAATTCGCGATGATTACTTCATTGGGCAAATCCACCTTGAAAATTTTAGTGAAAAAAAAATACCCCAAAATTATTTATCCATAAATAACTTACTGTATATTAATAGGATATAGTTCTTTTTGGTATATTAGATTCTATATGTAATGATGATTCGAATGATATATCGTAACCCAATTCGCGATGATTACTTCATTGGGCAAATCCACCTTGAAAATTTTAGTGAAAAAAAAATACCCCAAAATTATTTATCCATAAATAACTTACTGTATATTAATAGGATATAGTTCTTTTTGGTATATTAGATTCTATATGTAATGATGATTCGAATGATATATCGTAACCCAATTCGCGATGATTACTTCATTGGGCAAATCCACCTTGAAAATTTTAGTGAAAAAAAAATACCCCAAAATTATTTATCCATAAATAACTTACTGTATATTAATAGGATATAGTTCTTTTTGGTATATTAGATTCTATATGTAATGATGATTCGAATGATATATCGTAACCCAATTCGCGATGATTACTTCATTGGGCAAATCCACCTTGAAAATTTTAGTGAAAAAAAAATACCCCAAAATTATTTATCCATAAATAACTTACTGTATATTAATAGGATATAGTTCTTTTTGGTATATTAGATTCTATATGTAATGATGATTCGAATGATATATCGTAACCCAATTCGCGATGATTACTTCATTGGGCAAATCCACCTTGAAAATTTTAGTGAAAAAAAAATACCCCAAAATTATTTATCCATAAATAACTTACTGTATATTAATAGGATATAGTTCTTTTTGGTATATTAGATTCTATATGTAATGATGATTCGAATGATATATCGTAACCCAATTCGCGATGATTACTTCATTGGGCAAATCCACCTTGAAAATTTTAGTGAAAAAAAAATACCCCAAAATTATTTATCCATAAATAACTTACTGTATATTAATAGGATATAGTTCTTTTTGGTATATTAGATTCTATATGTAATGATGATTCGAATGATATATCGTAACCCAATTCGCGATGATTACTTCATTGGGCAAATCCACCTTGAAAATTTTAGTGAAAAAAAAATACCCCAAAATTATTTATCCATAAATAACTTACTGTATATTAATAGGATATAGTTCTTTTTGGTATATTAGATTCTATATGTAATGATGATTCGAATGATATATCGTAACCCAATTCGCGATGATTACTTCATTGGGCAAATCCACCTTGAAAATTTTAGTGAAAAAAAAATACCCCAAAATTATTTATCCATAAATAACTTACTGTATATTAATAGGATATAGTTCTTTTTGGTATATTAGATTCTATATGTAATGATGATTCGAATGATATATCGTAAACCAATTCGCGATGATTACTTCATTGGGCAAATCCACCTTGAAAATTTTAGTGAAAAAAAAATACCCCAAAATTATTTATCCATAAATAACTTACTGTATATTAATAGAGTATAGTTCGTCTTGGTATATTAAATTCTATATTTAATGATGATTCGAATGGTATATCGTAACCCAATTCGTGATGATTACTTCATTGGGCAAATCCATTTTGAAATTTTAGTGAAAAAAAATACCCCAAAATTTTTAATCCATAAATAACTTACTGTATATTAATAGAGTATAGTTCGTCTTGGTATATTAAATTCTATATTTAATGATGATTCGAATGGTATATCGTAACCCAATTCGTGATGATTACTTCATTGGGCAAATCCATTTTGAAATTTTAGTGAAAAAAAATACCCCAAAATTTTTAATCCATAAATAACTTACTGTATATTAATAGAGTATAGTTCGTCTTGGTATATTAAATTCTATATTTAATGATGATTCGAATGGTATATCGTAACCCAATTCGTGATGATTACTTCATTGGGCAAATCCACTTTGAAAATATCATTCAAAAAAAAAATAACCCAAAATTATTAATCCATAAATAACTTACTGTATATTAATAGGGTATAGTTCGTCTTGGTATATTAAATTCTATATTTAATGATGATTCGAATGGTATATCGTAACCCTATTAGCGATGATTACTTCACTGGGCAAATCCACTTTGAAAATATCAGTCAAAAAAAAATAACCCAAAATTATTAATCCATAAATAACTTACGGTATATTAATAGGGTATAGTTCGTCTTGGTATATTAGATACTATATTTAATGTTGATTCGAATGGTATATCGTAACCCAATTAGCGATGATTATTTCACTGGGCAAATCCACTTTGAAAATATCAGTCAAAAAAAAATAACCCAAAATTATTAATCCATAAATAACTTACGGTATATTAATAGGGTATAGTTTGTCTTGGTATATTAGATACTATATTTAATGTTGATTCGAATGGTATATCGTAACCCAATTAGCGATGATTACTTCACTGGGCAAATCCACTTTGAAAATATCATTCAAAAAAAAATAACTTAAAATTATTAATCCATAAATAACTTACGGTATATTAATAGGGTATAGTTTGTCTTGGTATATTAGATACTATATTTAATGTTGATTCGAATGGTATATCGTAACCCAATTAGCGATGATTACTTCACTGGGCAAATCCACTTTGAAAATATCAGTCAAAAAAAATAA